CATCATATGCAGGTTGTTAATAAGCTGTCTACACACTCTCTCTAGTTGTCCAGCAATATTTTGAACAAGTTCATTATTAAGTTTATCCACAGTATAGTAGAAAGGATTAACTATTAGCTGAACTAAGTCTACTTCCTCTACAATGCAAGGTTTTGCTAAAAGTTCACTAACTATATCAATTATTATCTCCATCAACCTTAGCCTGTCGGTTTCAAGTGACTCACATGTTAGTAGAAAGTGTGATAAAATTTCAGGACTCTTATTACAAAGCTTACATGTTGAACTGACTTTGTTTTTATTGAATGATGCTCGATTCGATTGAAATATATATGTTCCTGTAGCAATTTTGATTCTTGTAGGAATCCTTACAATGTCTCTATTGTTGGCCGTTTTTGTGATGATCAATGGGTGTATTTTTCCAATAGTATATTGAAAATTCATATACTGGAGAGTTGAGTACATCTTTAAGTTATCAAGAATTTTATTGGTCCAGTAACTTTCACTTTATTGTTTATAACTGATTTCCATTTTGTTTTCGTAGTGGATTGTCCAAAACGTTTTCTATATTTTCTATATTTTATAGCATACAGAGTTTTTTAATATCAATGAACCATCTATTGCTATTGAAAGATTTTGATTTAAGAGGCCTTTCTGCTATTCTCCACACATTGGAATTTTTTTTCAAAATTTTGATATGTAACTCAGCTTCAATAGGTATCATGCAAGAGAGTATATAAATGGCTGGCCATGGGTCTGCTGTATTTGTAGATAAAGATAGTAGCTGTTTTAATAACTTCTTGTGATACAGATTAAGAGTTGCTAGAGATTTTCCTTTTGGAATAAAAATTTCTAGTCCATAAGTAAGAATTGGTAATACAAAAGTTTTAACTAGTGAGAGATTTGTTTCTGGGTCCAATCCGTTAGTTCCATGTAGACCTGATCCCATTAAGCTGTATAAAGTGCGTCTTGATTTTTTAATGTTTTCTTCAACTGTTAACTGGATTGATTTTTTTTCTGATTTATGTATTCCAATGTGTGTTGCTGTTTGAACTACTGGCATTGGCTTATCATCCATAGTCCAAAATCCTTCTCCAGTTTCTATTGTTTTTGAGGTTGTTCTTACTGGCAGTATTACACTTTTAGTTGGTTGTAATTAATATTCTTCTCTTCGATTGAAGTCAAGAGCAATATCAACCATGGACTGTATCTCCAGTGGATTTGTTGCTATAATAGCGACATCATCAGCACAGACAACAGTTTGTTACCAATTTTTCCGCCGAGTCCCGTTTCGCACAACAGGTTCAGTAAAGGATTGACATATACTTTATACAAGTCAGCAGATATAGCTCCACCCTGACGTACTCCTTGATCTACTAAGAAAGGTTCGGAAAGGTGACCATTCCATTTAATACATGTAGCAGCATTTTGGTAAAGATTTTGTATCATTAGTAGAGATTGATCAGATATCCCAATTTGGAAGAGTTTTCTAATAAGGTTTGCATGTACTACCACATCAAAGGCTGATTTCCCATCGAGCATAGCTATATAAAAGTTGGTCTTTTTAGGTCTTTATTTTCTCTCTCAAACTCCTCTATGATGAGTTCACACATAAGTGGGGTGGTATTCTCTGTGAATCCACTTTGTAACGGGTTTTGAGATTCAATAATTATTATATTTTCTCTTAGTTTTAAAATCTTTTCTATTATTTTCGATAAGGTTGGAGTGACAGTAATTCCACGGTAGTTAATAGCACCTTTAATATTGCCTTTGTTTTTAAGTATTGGAAATAATGTGCCAATTTTGAATAGGTCTGGAACATAGCAGTATTTAAATGACATATTTATTAGTTCACGTATATAAGCTTTCAGATATTCACCACCATATATAATATTTTCTGCTGTGATTCCATAAATGTCCGCTGCTTTGTTTTTGTTCAAACTTGAAATTGCTTTTTCTACTTCCTCATCAGTCATTTGCATATGGATATATCTATTTTGACATATATCAGATATAACTTTAACTTCTTTCTCAACATGTTCCAGGTGTTTATGATCGAACTCTGTATTGACAGAGTTTTTAGCTAGTTCTCCAAAATGAATATGCCAGCCGTTCATAATTTGGTTGTCACTGTAATAAATTTGATTATCAACATTGAGCTCATCTATATGTTTGGACATTTTTCATCTTTGATTTCTAATCATTCTAAAAAATGTTTTGGTAGGCCTATCTGTGACTTTTGATTCAATTAGTTTTTGCCTCTCATTTATTCTTTTAATAGCTATTTCTAAGCGACATTGTTTCCTTTGTTCATAAGTTGTTTGTTTCTTTTGTTTTAGGTAGAAGTTCTTCGGGTCATTTATGCTTCCGTTACTTTTCCAGTTATAAAACGCTGTTTTCTTATTACTGATAGCTTTGCGGATTTCCTCATTCATCACTTGTAATTTTGGCTTCCTTTTTCCTTTTTTTGATTTAGGAGCAATAACTTTTGTAGCTTTAATTATGATGTTATTTAAGGTATTGAAGCCGCTCTCAAGGTCATCACGATTTTGTACTTTACATTTCGTTGAGCTAATTTCCCGCGTTTTTAGGTCTCCTCTCTTGATTGGTAGATTGGAAAATCTCAAAACCTGCGGAAATGCCGAGTCGTGTAAATGCGGACAGGGGGAGTTAAAATACAGACACCTTGTCGTCAAATTGTGGACACTTATTTTCAAACAGTTCTTGCTATTCAAAACGCAGGTATTATGTATATATAACATTGCCTTTCATGAATACTCTTTCGGTGCATCTTAAAGCATGGTTGAGAATGGTTTTCTTACATGAACTGGTAATACATGTGGAAAGGTGAGAAAAAAAATAAGATTAAAAAAGTCCAGTAAATATCTTAGACCATGCCAATTATTAAATGATATAAGATGCAGAAACTTTTTTGTACTGACAACTTCCATCGTGATTTTGTCTTCCAAGATACATGCATGCATATATACGTGATATAGTTGTGATACCTTTCAATTTCAAATCGTATGGCATTCATTGCAATGTGTTTAAATGTCCTAAATCTGACGGAGCAAACTTGAGTTATCCTACGACAGAGAAAGTGCAGATGGGCGGATGAATAGACGGACAGTTTAATTACTATAAAAGGGCATCCGCCGAAAGTCGACAGGCCACAATAAAGACGTAGTGCTGGAGATTGTGGTCACTCATGATGATACGCTATTGGTGTTCATTACATTTCGTCAAATATATACTTTTTCTATATAATAACCGTTCGCTGACCAATAATGGAATCGAATTTTATCCGACTGGCGACACTGAGGATACCAACGTGTGCAGACTGAGAACATGCATACCTAGTTCTGTGCCTTAGATGAAATGTCTAAAACACAACAGGTTAACGATAGATGCAAAGGATGATTAATTACTAACATTCATTCGTCCATGCAGGTAAAAAAAAAACCGTGAGGCATATGTCGTTCACATGAGAAAATTACCGAACCAAATATGGACGCTCCAGTCATGCTTCAGTGATTCCCTATATAGTCAACCAAATTTTTCCCACAAAAAGGGGGGGGCCGCCCCCCCCCCCCCCCCTAGATCCGCCTATGGACTACCAAGCTTTTAGTTTATGATTGATTATGTGATCACTAAAGAAAATTAGTTTTTGATAACCAAAGTAAATATTTAATGATGATGTGATTATATTGGCAAAAATTTGGTGATTATGCGAATAATGGTACCTCCCAATGAGGGCCCTCGATTGTTTTTCGATTTGTAACAGACGTACGGACAGACAGACAGACGACTGGATGCACAAATTAATTACCGTTGGACGCTCGCAGAAAGCCGATGCATTGGTTATTTTATTTCTATCATGTTTTGAAATTTTTTATTAAAACATTTCTTTTAAAAGAATATCCTTGATATCAATAAGTGCATCTGCCTCTTCCCCAGTAAGATACTGAGAATTTCCAACGCTTTATCTCTTCTACCTGATTATCTAGCTATAAACACAATGCTGCTGAATTCATTTTCCTTATCACTTTCAATAATTTCGCATAGTAGTGTTGATACATATTCATGTTTTGATAAACGTATCAATTTCATAAATAAATAGCCAATAACATCATTGTCAAATAGCCACTCGTCTACGAGACATTGTTGCAATTTCATTCGGGCGATCGTTTTCGGTAGATTTTATTTCATTCCATTTGCTCTTGCAAAAAGTCCTAAACATGTAGACATTCTGTAAAGAAAGAGAAATAGATTGACTTGACATCCCGTGGTTGACGTTTTCAGTTTTTGACCTAAAGAAGATGTGTGACCATGTGTGCAAGTTGCCTACTGGAGTGAAATTCAGACTTGTAAACGAATTATGTTCGTAATATGCAAAATGAGAGCAAAACAACATGATAAACCCAAATCAACAATTTATTGATATAAATGTATCGGATTCACACTAATACTACTAGATTCTAAGAGAGTTTTGCTTATTTCCCACATCATGGTGTTGACATACGCACCACTGCACGTGTTAGTTGTTAAAAATATCTTGTGTCCGCATTTCGGCTATCATATTATTTTCGGTGGTGAAAATGCGGACACTTGCTTTTTCCTATTTTGAAAATCAAAATTTAGACAAATCAGTAAACATAATTAAAAGAAATGTTTCCTTGCATAACATACGTAATGCCTATTGCTTTTCAACACATAAATTACCATTCTAACATGAACAGCTGTGTATTGAATGTGACACGCTGATTTTGGACCTTGTTCAAAATTTCCCGGTTTTCAAACTTGTTGACCATAAGCTATTTATAGCATGCACTTTCAATCACATGACATGAAAGTAAATCGTAAGTAATAAACATGATATCCTTATTGCAAAAAAATAGAGTTTCAATAGTAAACAAAACACCTTATTTCATATATCAATTTTATTTCAATTTTTTATAATTTTATTGAACAGTCCATTGAAAATTGAGATATTCGTTTTCCGTCCGCATATCGGCGCTGTCCGCAAATAGACGATTTTCCCCAAAAACATAGTAGAAAATTCGTCTATTATAAAACATATTTTGCAGTATAAAATATTTCCTCGTCTATAGAATGAATACATAGGTAGAAATGAGCGGACCGTATCAAACGAAAAAAGGAATCTCAAAATCAAGGTTAGTTCTAAATTTTCTGAATCATAAACCTTTAAAATTAAATTCGGCTAGTTCCTGCCATGCTTTAAAACTTTACCAGGTGCACCAGATTTGTCTGTACTCGAGTAATTTCAGTTAATTTTGAACTGTAAACACGGCCATTGTTATAATTTGGGTCAAAAACTAGGACGTGGATTATACATTGAACACCTATCCTAGATCTTAGTCCGAGATTACTCTGACGTCCAACGGCTGTTTTGCCAGACAAGCTGGGGCCGTGGGACGTCAGAGCTCGTCCCATATCAAAAAGTGGATATTTGCCCGTCCAAAATAGATGCGCTGCTTCGTCGCTTCTGGTGCCAACGGACGTCCTTGGAATTATATAAATCGGGTATCCATTTGTTCATTTTCCATTTATCTCTTCATTTATGTAAGTTTCACCTACCTACCACCCTTTATTTTCTCATATTTAGACAATTTTCACAGTGACCCATCGATTCAGACATTTTTACTTTTATTTTCAAATGGACGGCAAGTTACGAGAGATTTTGCGACCTCGAGACTCAAATATGCAAATATTTATACTTTTTGCACCTCCTTTATAGGAGATCGATATTTAACATTTAGTAGCCAACCACGGTTTTTCACCTCCTTTACAGGAGATCGGTATTAAGCATTTAGTGCCAACCACGATAACATTCGGAAGCTCTCGGATATTTACATTGCTTGCATCGTAAATGAGCGAGGTGTTAGATTATATATTCATATTGACCTAGGGTCATATGCATACATCATTTCTCATAGTCCATTGTGCCTTACTTTTTTCTCGTGATCACATGACAATCTTTCAAAATGAAAGTCAAAATGCCAGAATCGATGGGTCACTGTGAAAACTGTCTAAATATGAGAAAATAAAGGGTGGCTGGTAGGTGAAACTTACATAAATGAAGAGATAAATGAAAAATGAACAAATTGATACCCGATTTATATAATTCCAAGGCCGTCCGTGGGCACCAGAAGCGACGAAGCAGCGCATCTATTTTGGACGGGCAAATATCCACTTTTTGATATGGGACGAGCTCTGACGTCCCACGGCCCCAGCTTGTCTGGCAAAACAGCCGTTGGACGTCAGAGTAATCTCGGACTACCTAGATCTGTGCTAGTTTAAATACCATTAATGAAGTTGCCAGTGAACAATTTACATCCATGACCAAGTAAGTGTGAAAAGACATTTTGTTTGCCATGCATGCGCTCACATGAAACAATTATTTAATTAAGTCATTATTATTTTTTGTTTGTTATTTTGATATCTGTTAGAGTTGAGTAATTTAAACTATGCTTGATTTTTTTCTGTGAACTTCCTTGTCAGTAGTAGATCAAAGTCGTACCATAATTAGGGCGTCGCATCAAGGATGCGGGAGCCCTATAATTTTCCCTTTGTCCGTTCGCCTGTCCGTCAACATTTTTTTGTAAACTCAAAAATATCAAAAAGGATATGAAATGTTGCACAGTTGTTGTGCATAATATGTAGATGTGCATAATATAATTTTGTGAAATATGGCTCATTAATTAAAAAAAAACTTCATTTTTGTTAAAAATAAAAAAAAAAATGAGAAATGTTTTCGTGTAATAGAACATACTAGAATGTTTTCTGTTTAATTCCGGACAATTTAGAGCTTGAAACTTGAAGACTACATGAGTCGTACATATATGTTAATTGGCTGACTCGAGATGTCTTTTTGGTTATTTTTGTAGGATGGTGGCTCCGGTCTCATCGATGCTTACCTCACTGCATGAGCACTGACACCTCTGTAATTCATATCACATGTCGATAAAAAGGTGACAGTGTTATTTTATTCGAAGTCATTAGTTTTTAGCTCACTTGGCCCGAATGAGCTTTTCTCATCACTTGGCGTCCGTCGTCCGTCGTTGTCGTTAACTTTTTACATTTTGAACTTCGTCTAGAGAACCACTGAATGGAATGAAACAAAACATGGCATGAATGTTCCTTATGAGGTGCTGACCAAGTGTTGTTACTTTGTAGCCGATCCATCACCCAAGATGGCCGCCAGCGGGGCACTTCGTTTAACATAGGACTCACCGACCCTATGGACAATACATACAAATGTATTATTTAAGAGAACCACTGAATGGAATGAAACCAAACATGGCATGAATGTTCCTTATGAGGTGCTGACCAAGTGTTGTTACTTTATAGCCAATCCATCATCCAATATGGCCGCCAGCAGGGGACTTTGTTTAACATAGGACCATATGGACAATACATACAAATGTCTTCTTTAAGAGAAACACTGAATGGAATGAAACCAAACATGGCATGAGTGTTCCTTATGAGGTGCTGACCAAGTGTTGTTAGCTTGAAGCTGATCCATCATCCAAGATGGTCGCCAGCGGGGGACTTCGTTTAACATAGGAACCTATGAACAATACATACAAATGTCTTCTTTTAGAGAACCACTGAATGGAATGAAACCAAACATGGCATGAATGTTCCTTATGAGGTGTTGACCAAGTGTTGTTACTTTGAAGCCAATCCATCATCCAAGATGGTCGCCAGCGGGTGACTTCGTTTTACATAGGACCCTATGGACAATACATACGAATGTCTTCTTTTAGAGAACCACTGAATGGAATGAAACTAAACATGGCATGAATGTTCCTTATGAGATGTTGACCAAGTGTTGTTACTTTGAAGCCAATCCATTATCCAAGATGGTCGCTAGCGGGTGACTTCGTTTTACATAGGACCCTATGGACAATACATACGAATGTCTTCTTTTAGAGAACCACTGAATGGAATAAAACCAAACATGGCATGAATGTTCCTTATGAGGTGCTGACCAAGTGTTGTTACTTTGAAGCCGATCCATCATCCGATATGGCCGCCAGCGGGGGACTTCGTTTAACAAAGGACCGTATGGGAAATATATACAAATCTCATAAACATGTTTAACCCCGCCGCATTTTTGCGCCTGTCCCAAGTCAGGAGCCTCTAGCCTTTGTCAGTCTTGTATTATTTTTAATTTTAGTTTCTTGTGTACAATTTGGAGTTTAGTATGGCGTTCATTATCACTGAACTAGTATATATATTTGTTTAGGGGCCAGCTGAAGGACGCCTCCGGGTGCGGGAATTTCTCGCTGCATGCATTGAAGACCTGTTGGTGACCCTCTGCTGTTGTCTGTTCTATGGTCGGGTTGTTGTCTCTTTGACACATTCCCCATTTCCATTCTCAATTTTAAATGTCTTCTTTTGAAGAACAACTGAATGGAATGAAACCAAACATGGCATGAATGTTCCTTATGAGGTGCTGACCAAGTGTTGTTACTTTGTAGCAAATCCATCAACCAAGATGGCTGCAAACGGGGGACTTAGTTTAACAAAGGACCCTATGGGAAATATACAAATGTCTTCTTCTAGAAAACCGCTTAATGGATTGAAACCAAACATGGTATAAATGTTTCTTTTGAGGTGCTGACCAAGTGTTGTTACTAGTACTTTGTAGCTGATTTGTCATCCAAGATGACTGCCAGCAAGGGGAGTAAGTTTAACATAGGACCCTATGGGAAATACATACAAATGTTTTCTTCTAGAGAACCATTGAATAGAATGAAACCAAACATGGCATGAATGTTCCTAATGAGGTGCTGACCAAGTGTTGTTTCTTTGCAGCCGACCCATCATCCAAGATGGCCGCCAGCAGGGGACTTAGTTTAACACAAGACACTATGGAAAATACATACAAATGCTTCTTCTAGAGGTGCACTGAATGGAATGAAACCAAACATGGCATAAATGTTCCTTATGAGGGGCTGATGAAATGTTGCTACTTTGTTGCCCATTTACTGTTCAAGATGGCCACCAGGATTTTTTATTTAAATTACAGGGCTAATATTAAACCAAATTTGGCCTCAATCATTATTAGGGTATCTGTTATAATTTTAATCTATTTTTACATGATTTCCAAAACCAAAGTAGAATCAGGTCAGCGACACAGGCTCTTGAGAGCCTCTAGTTTTTCGTACTCCGTCCACATTGTTCTTCCTTTGACAACATTGTCGTAAAACATATACATATGTAGTCTTGGAAAAGAGGGACGAAAGATACCAGAGGGACAGTCAAACTCATAGATCGAAAACAAACTGACAACGTCATGGCCAAAAATAAAAAGACAAACAGACAAATAATAGTACAGATGACACAACATAGAAAACTAAAGACTAAGCAACACGAACACCACCAAAAACTGGGGGTGATCTCAGGTGCTCCGGAAGGGTAAGCAGATCCTTGGAAATTACATCAATCCTTAGATCACTTATTACGAAACTTTGCACACATAATTATTAGAGATTCAATCTAATTAAAAATGGACCTCTCACTTGCTCTTGTCGCTCGACTTATCAGTAAACAAGACAATAGGGGAAATGAAATAAACTGAAAAGTAGGGACAAAATTTTCAAAGTGACAAGCAAAAAAGAAAACAAACTTGTATAGTGGTATCATCTAGAAGTTAGTTAGTGTCCTCTTTAATTTTCATTTTTATCATTTTCAATATTTTTCTTTTGCCAAAAAGTTGGGGGCATGTGCATGACAAATAATTGAATACACTTAAAATGATAGCTTTTCCTTATACTTTCCCTGACCGGTCGATTATTCTTTTTATAATCGTTTGATATCAATTCTTCATTGGTCAAACATTCGTTAAATTATCTGAAATTGCTCTCACCGCGATATAAAGCCTTTTAGCACTTATGCGGCGGAATTCAAGAAATGGCTTTTTGGAATATTCATAAAGATAACTTCTATTGTTATGATTAGCTTTATTCAAGGTTTAAATCAGTTAGCCGGCAGCAAAATTCAAAATACGCAAATTTAATCGATTGAATGAAGGAATGACTATATATATAAAATATGAAATTTTAGAAGGTAAATCGTTTGCAAATATTTTATAGACCATGGCTTCAGCGGCCAAAGTAGGCGACACGTCTTTACAAATACCACATTATGTACAAAGTGATGCACAAAAAGTCAAGATAGAGGATTCAAATATTCAGATAATACTTGGAGAATCGGTAAGTTTGCAAATAGAATTGCTTCGATTTACCAAAATCTACTTAAAGGAAATATCAACTGAAAGTATATAAACTTTATTGTCAAAAAGTCAAATGTTACGAAAACAATGGAAAAATGGCAAATACTCTTCTTTCTAAAAAAATAATAATTACATCTTAAAAGTATAGTTTCCAGTTTTCGGATAATTTTCTAAAAATATTCATTAATACATGGATTGTTTTTTTATTTCAAACAAAATAATAAAATTTCGAAAAACTGAAATTGTTTTGTCATTGTTTTACATATAATGTGATATGAATTTCTGAAATATATAGAGTTGCAGAATTTTCACAAAGAAGGCTGTGCATCCAAGTATTTCTAAAAGTAAAGGTGACGTATTGTTATTGCACGGTTCAAGCTTTACTTCACAAACATGGGAAGACAACAAAACATTACAGTACCTGGCAGCAATGGGGTATACTGCTATAGCTGTTGATTTACCAGGTAACGTTTACGCCGCATTAGTAGCATTTATTTTTCGTATTTTGTAGTTTTTAAAATGAATTGTAGTATCTGGTATCATAAAAATATTTGTTTGGGGTATTGGGTAGATTATAAAGTGAATATTAGTATTTGGTAGCATAAAAATAAAATTTTAGTATCCGGTAGTTTATAAAATCTATACAGCTGAGAACATTACATAGAACTTAATCTTAACTGTAACGAAAGGTCCGTACTAGCACAGCTCAGGTGTGGCATTCTTCCACTCCGGTTAGAAACTGCCGGGTCGTTTTGTAGGTGAAGCATAAGATGACTGTGTAAAATGTGTGATGATAACTGTATGGAAAACGAATTCCATTTCCTCATAAACTGTAATTCTTACAACAATCTACGAGTTCAACATTTCTCACAACTTGATTGAAAATTTATATATTCTATCAAAAGATGAACAGTTTAAATATTTACTGTCAAAATCCGAGAAAAATTGCTAAATATCTATTGCAAGCTTTCAGTAATCGAAAACACTTTTTATATGAAAATTTTAGATAAAATTGATTACCGTTTTGTTCGTCGTACCATTGATATTAATGTTTAAAGTGACTTATAGGCCCAAAGGCATGAAAGGGTCTGTTTTTATATTTCACTGTATTATATATTATTTTGTGAAAAACACATGTCACAATAACATGTATAATAAAAAATTTAGTTAGTTAGTTAGTTATAAGGTGCGTACGCCCCCTCCTTTGATTGGAAAATATGTCATATTTTAGCATAAAATCGTGGGAAGTTGTGTTTAACTTATTTGTATCCTGGAAAAAAAGCTATTCACGGTAAAAAGGTTCAAAAACTATTTACTGGGTATGAACTATTTACTGCAAGCAAACATTTTCCCATACTTTATAATTAATCACTTATTTACTGGCTATACAGGTAGCAAGTTTATTTCATATACCTAATTTATCAAAATACTGTGATACAGAATTACAAAAAAAGAGAGATGAGATTCAAAGGGTCTAGGCAATCGAAAATCATATCGAATTCAGGTGCTCTCTTTAAGGGTAGTCAGTTCCTGCTCCTCATCATAGCGCCTGTCTTGTTGCTCAAGCAGCTACAAACCGGTGATAAGTCGGTTTCCGTAATGGTATAGTTGAGGAAAAGAGGAGGGAAAGAGAGAGTCATCTGTGATACAGATATTCCATGACAGTCAACACAATCATGATGGCATTCGTAAAACTTTCAAAGGGATGGCTACAACTTTACCACTTGGAACCCTTGATGCAATGACGTTCTTATAAGCAGTAACCATTTATCAAGGAAATTATGATAGAAAATGCAGCCATGGGATATCATAGCAACTGGTAGATATATACGAGAGGTAGTCCATAAGCAGGCACTGCTTATAAAATACCATATTGGTGATTTTATTGTCAACTCTATAGTGAAAAAAGTCAATCAAAGGCTTAAATTTTTATATAGAAACAAAGAGTGTCTAAATTTTCAATCTAGGAAAACATTGTGCTCTTCCCTGATTCAATGTCATTTTGACTATGCATGTGCATGCTGGTATGAAGGTATATCAAAACAAATGAAGAATAAACTTCAAGTGGCACAAAATAAGATTGTGAGATTTATTCTGCAATTACATCCCAGAAAGAGTGTGACATATATTGAATTCAAGAAATTGGGCTTTTTAAATATTAGTAATAGAGTCAAACAACTAAGACTCAATCATGTTTTTAACATTTTTAACAATATATGCCCAAATTATTTACATACTAATTTTGTTAAAAATGAAACATCTTTCAATACAAGATCTAGTAGTAAAAACTTTTATATACCAGGAATAAAAGGGTGTGAATCCACCACTTTCTTTTATAATGGAATAAAAGACTGGAATTCGTTACCAGACATGATTAAAAGTTGCTCTAAAAAATATAATTTTAAAGTGCAGGTGAAAAAATTTTTGATGGATAAATTTAAATCCCATCTTTAATAGTGAATTTGTTTTTTATTAATTATATTGGGGCTTTGACCATTTATCTGTGATAAATTTTAGATGATTTGTACTTGTATTTTCTATGTGTCAACCCTTGGTGTAAACTGGAAGTCTCATTATAAAAGGACCCCACTGGAAATAAGTTTTACTAACTTTTGTGGGTCATCCTAAGATATTAGGCTACAGTGTAAAATCTAGTCAAGTTAAATTTCACTCATTTCTAATCTAGTCTAATCATATTATCAAAATATCATGAAAATTTTCATAATTTTATTTTTTATTTCTTAATTTAAAATTTTTAGTAAACATGTATATCATTTTAGTGTCTATAAACTATGTCTAGTGTTATATCTGTGTCTTTGTAATATTTTGTATCTGTCAAATTCATGCCTTTTTATCTTGAATAAATATATATATATATATTTCAAGCTTCATGTAAACTATATAAAAGCTTGTAAGGTTTACATAATTTTCACGAGCATTTTTGTTACAGGCTACGGTAAAAGTCAGACAATACCTGATCATTGCAAACCTGCTGATTTCATGGAAGGTCTGATTTGTGTTTTAAGAATGTCAACACCTATAATTATCAGTCCATCTGCCAGTGGACGATACTCATTGGCTTATTTAGTTTGTGATGCAACGAACGTCTCTGAAAGAGCCAAAGCCTTCATACCTGTAAATACAGTGCAGGCACCAGAATATTCCACAGAAGAATACAGTAGGATACAGGTATAAAGATGTAATCAAGAATTGGTAGCTTGAGTGGGAAAGATGGTCATTATTCCATTGATGCAAGATTTTATTGTCTGTAAATACTTTAACTCCACATGTATTTCTCATTACAAAAAGCAAAAGATTTTCTATATATATATGATGACTCTATCTAAATATGATTCTTTCAACATACTATTAACACCCCTCTATTCTTCATTGTATTCCTACATCATTGGTAGAGTTTAAATTTTTAATGTAACATGTGATTCAAGTGCTTACTAGCTTCCAGTAGTTGCAAATATTTCACTAACTACTAGATAATTTGAAATGCCTAAAAGCAACCAAAATTCCAAAACGTTTGGCATATGCAACTATAATTTGCTTAATATTAACACGCTACCGGTATTTTCATGATCCTATCTCAAATGGGGTAAGAGGAGATGGGTCAATTGATTTTTTGTCAGTTTTGGAACCCATGAGGATACCTTAGGGTTAGCATGAATATTACAATATTGTTGGTCTTTGTATATATAATGTGACGTGTGATCAAAGTTTCAACAATATTCTCATAGTATGAAGATTTCATTGATTTACTGGTTTTAGCAAAATTCTTTTCACTCATAATTCTGACCTTAAATATCAAAATTCGGAAACTATGGTACAATCTACTTTATAGCTTTATCATCTTAGGAAGATTCAAGATTCTGTAATTTATTGTTGATGCGATTATCCAGGACATTACAAAAGACTGTATAAAAAACCCCACCAAAATGCTATTACCACCTCTATGAGCATAGGGCTTAAAAAAAAGTGTACTAGAAAAATGCAAATAAACTCTTCAATGCTAAAATCTGTAAAATATTTTCAAATCTATAGCAATAAGTACCTATGACCTACAACCAACATACTTCAAATTAAGCTAGGAAATAAGAAACTACAGTGGTATATAAGGACTTTGCCTACCCATATGTTGTCGCATGGGGTTGTTTGTATTCAAGCATGTGTACTTAATCAATTAATAATCTTCTAACTTGCATAGGGCCTCGGTGGCCAAGTGGTCTAAGTAGTTCTACTACTGTAATCACTAGCCAGTCAACACTGAGGTTGTGAGTTCGAACCCCACTCGTGCAGGTGCACTAGTGTTAAATTTTGAAATAAATGTGGATTGTGGACACAGATGATGCCCCCACTTGCATATCATATAGTTATAAAGGGACATAACCGAAGAACGGTAAAAGTGACGCTACCCAAATTTGATCTTGATCTGAGTTTTGTGGTAATAAGCATTGTGTATAAGTTTTATAACATTTGGTTGAGACAAACTAAAGTTAGGGAACAGAAAAGAAAAATTCAGCATTTTTTATGTTTATATAGGGGCATAACTCAAGAATGGTAAAAGTGATGCCACCGAATTTCCTACTTAAAATGTATTATGTAGTAATAAGCATTGTGTATAAGTTTCATAACATTTTGTTGAGGCAAACTAAAGTTAGAGAACCGAAACAAAAAATTTGTACTTGATCTTAGTTTTATGGTAATGAGTATTGTGTATAGGTTTTATAATGTTTGGTTGGGCAAACTTAAGTTACAGAAGGGAAACTAAAAATTTTGCATTTATAAAGGGCATATCTCAAGAATGGTTAAAGTGACACTTCCCAAATTCAACTTGATCTGTGTTTTATCAGTGGAAGGCAAAATTAAACATTGCATTGTATAAAGCATTGATTGTAGTTGATTCAACTTTAATCATGGACAAAGGAAGATAACTCCAATTTTAAAAATTACTTGAATAATGACATTAATATTTTTAGAAAAAAATTGAAAAATTTAACAATTTTTCCATTTGTAAAGGGGCATAACTCTAGAACAGTAAAAGTGACGCCACCAAAATTCAAACTTGATCTGTGTATTGTGGTAATAAGCATTGTGTATAAGTTTCATATTTTCATCTATTTTATCAGCAATCAAAGCCGGGCTCCAAAGTTATTGTAAAACTGCCTATTCTAGAGGTGGCGTGAATCAGATGTGGATACTAAAAAATTCCATAGATCTTTTAAATACATACAATCTAAACCTCTCTTAACTTGCAATAGTATTAAAACATTTGACTTTTCTACACTTTACACAAGTATTCCCCATTCCAAACTAAAAGACAAATTGAAAGAGTTGGTATTACTTTGTTTCATTAAAAAGAATGGCGAACATAGATACAAGTATCTTGTCTTGGGGAGGGATAAATCCTACTTTGTAAAGAATCACTCTGATTCAAACAAAAAATTCTCTGAAACTGACATTATCAAGATGCTTGATTTCTAGATTGACAACCTATTTGTTACGTTTGGAGGACGTTTTTTTCAACAGACTGTCGGAATTCCAGTGGAAACCAATTGTGCCCCTCTTCTTGCCGACTTGTTTCTTTATTATTATGAGGCTGACTTCATTCAGGAACTTCTTAGGAAGAAAGATAAGAAGTTAGCAATATCCTTTAACTTTAAGTTCTGCTATATAGATGATGTTCTCTCACTAAATAATACAAAATTTGGTGACTATGTTGAACGAATCTATCCCATCAAACTAGAGATAAGGGATACTACAGATACAGTTAAGTCTGCCTCACATCTTGACTTACATCTAGAAATTGACAATGAGGGTCGGTTGAAAACAAAACTTTACGACAAAAGAGATGATTTCAGCTTCCCAATTGTGAACTTTCCATTTCTATGTAGCAACATTCCAGCAGCGCCTGCATACCGAGTATATATCTCCGAATTGATACGATATTCCCGGGCTTGTATTTCCTATCATGATTTCCTTGATAGAGGATTGCTGCTCACAAGGAAGCTATTAAACCAAGAGTTCCAAATGGTGAAGTTGAAATCATCCCTTCGTAAATTTTATGGACGCCATCAAGAGTTGGTTGACCGTTATGGAATAACCGTTTCACAGATGATATCGGATATGTTCCTTATGTCGTAACTACAATACCCTTCTCTTTTCACGAATGTGACCTACCAATTATAGACTATTTACTGGATTTGTAATAACATAAGCAACACAACGGGTGCCACATGTGGAGCAGGATCTGCTTACCCTTCAGGAGCACCTGAGATCACCCCCAGTTTTTGGTGGGGTTCGTGTTGCTTAGTCTTTAATTTTCTATGTATCGCATCTGTACTATTATTTGTCTGTTTGTCTTTTTATTTTTGGCCATGGCGTTGTCAGTTTGTTTTCGATCTATGAGTTTGACTGTCCCTCTGGTATCTTTCGTCCCTCTTTCATAACATTTGGATGAGGCAAACTTAAGTTAGAGAACAGAAATGAAATATTTTGCAATTTTTTCATTGATAAAGGGGCATAACTCTAGAATGGTTAAAGTGACACCACCAAAATTCAAACTTGATCTGTGTTTTGTGGTAATAAGCATTGTGTATAAGTTTGATAACATTTGGTTGAGGCAAACTTTAATTAGAGAATGGAAACCAATTTTGGGACTTACGTACGGATGGACAAGGATAAAACTTAATGTCCCCTCCGGCAGGGGCATAAAAAATAATTAGATTGATAGTGTCAAAATATTTTTAAAAAATTGTTCTTTTGCGCGAAATTTTTTTTCTGACTCAAGACAAAAAACCATACCCACCGCCCCCTCCTCTTGAAGTTAAATGGTTGCTCCCTAAGCACATAATAAAAGAATTATGATTAAATTAGAATTTGTTCATTTTGTAAAGGGAGATAATTGAAATCACTAGCAAAAATATAAAGCCTAAAATGGTTGGTGTGGGGACTTGGAACTTAGATCAAGAGTATAGGCCAAATCATCTTTCCCCCAAAACAAAGTATAGAATTATATGGAATGCATGTTTTTACTAAATGAAATATTTTAACTTGTATCGCTGATCACAAACATGAAAATATTCATATTCATATCTATATGCTACAGAAAAAATTAACTTGGGTATCCTGAACAAGTATCAGTTTTAAAGCAGACAATCGATTAAATTGAATAAATAAATCAAAACAATATGGATTTTTCATCATTGTATATTAATGTATTGTAGATTCCGTCTGCAGTAATATATGGTGAAAATGACAGAAGAAATGAAAATTTACTTCCAAATCTACAGAAACTCCCAAAAGCAAGTTTATATAAAGTGAAGGACGCTAGACATGCAGCTTATTTGGACCAACCTGAAGAGTTTCATAAGATCTTATACAACTTTCTGAGATCCCTGGAAGCAGTTGAAAGTTCTGACTAGATTTATATAAATTTAACATTTTCATTGTTGAAAAGAGCAGATTAAACCAACTAAATAATGTGTTGTTTTTTTAAACTTTTGAATTTTGAATACTTTTTTCATTGCCATCTATATCTATTACTGGACAGGGTATTTAACACCATCCATTTAAAAACTTATGCATATTTTGTAAGTTTTAAAGCAACATCAATGCAAGGCACATAGGACATTTGCATCAGTGAAGCTTAAAATTACTTATTATGAATGTGCTACATAGCTTGCATTCAATTCTAATTTTGCAATGGAGATGGGTGCAATTAGGGTCTAAATTGACATAATTTTTCAATGAAATTTTAACTTTTAATAGACATAGAAATATCGGGTGTCCTTTTATGCAATAGTTGAGGGGAAAAATATATAGTCGGCATAGTTCTAATACACTTTAAAAGATTGATATTGTAGCATAAACATTACACTGTTTTAAGTTGAATTAAAGATGATATCTGCTTGCTGTTTGGTATTATTGTTTTCCATGCAACCATTCATACATTGTTTTTCATGCAACCATTCATACACTGTTTTTCATGCAATCGTTCATACATTGTTTTTTTTGCAAATTTAACAATTAAAAGCATTAATCAGGAAGAAGGTGTCCGAATGATCTAAAATGTGCTCACACTAGACAACTCAACTCAACACTGCAAAGCTGCTAACCAAATATAAATTTATTCTGTTCTGTAGTACCTGAGAAAAGTGTGACAGAAACATTTCATGATGAACTGACAGACGAACAGACAAGGTGAATGCAATATATAATGATAAATCCTTGTATTCAGCTCAGACACTCTACCACGTATTGTACATGAGGGAATTTTGAAAATGATCAAAGTAAGCCAAGAACCTTTACCACAATGGCGAGTGATCCCCTTTACATATGAAGCAATGTTCCTGAAAAAAAACCTAAAAAAATGAAATGCATGTCCAAAAAAAGATTGTGGAAGATTTTTTAGTTTGCAATTGTTTGTGCATAAAAAAGAGAGGGTTAGGGTCTAAGATTTTTGTAATTATTTTACAGCATTTTAAAGATCACTAAATGGTATCATAAATTTTCTCAATGCCATTCTAAACTAAAATCACACTCTTGACCTCTTGTTCTGCCAGACTGCCACCTTTGTTTAGATCTGAATCCATGAATGAGCTTTCTAGATGTATGACCACATTATTTGGACACAAAACAGATCCGTTATTCCAACTAAAATAATAACCACTTTAGTTAGCCCTGATGAAATTGCTCAACTTGTCAGTTATAACAAGATTGTTATTTATAGGAAAATACAATGGGAACCGACCGTGCGAGGGCTTTATAGCCAATAGGAAAATACAATGGGAACCAACCGTGCGAGGGCTTTATAGCCAATAGGAAAATACAATGGGAACCGACCGTGCGAGGGCTTTATAGCCAATAGGAAAATACAATGGGAACCGACCGTGCGAGGGCTTTATAGCCAGTCAAGGTTGTTAAAAACCCCCATAAGCAATGGGATAATTATTTATACAAGTATTTAAAAGCAATAAACTGTTGTTTAATTGATTACGGAAAAGTGTCCAAGTGTTTACTTGATTTTGTGGTTTTACCTACAACAACTAAATTCCAACAAAAAAATAGTACCCAACAAAAAATTATGTACTGCAGTAAATTGTCAATGACTGAGTATGTCAAATATATGTATTCAAAACACATTTATGCAAGTTGATAACAAGTTTTAATTGAAATTGTCTGAATGAATGTTTACAATACACCACATATATTATCTATGTGACAAAGTGACAGTTTTATGCATATGGATCAAAGTTTGTGTTCCATGAATATCACATAAATTAAGTGTTTTATGCATATCGATCAAAGTTTGTGTTCCATGAATATCACATAAATTAAGTGTTTTATGCATATGGATCAAAGTTTGTGTTCCATGAATATCACATAAATTAAGTGTTTTATGCATATGGATCATAAGTTGGTGTTCTGTTGATATCACATAAATTAAGTGTTTTATGCATCACATAAATTAACTGTTTTATGCATATGGATTATAAGCTGGTGTTCCATAGTTATCACATAAATTTTATGCAAATGGATATGGATATCACACAAATTATTTGAAATTAACAATGTTATGCATATGGATCATAAGTTGGTGTTCCATGGATATCACATAAATTTACATACACAATAAGTGAATGTATATGTAACGGCATTTCCATAGTTAAACCATCAACAATACTGGGTAAGCAGTCATATATACAGTCCTTGACAGTGTCATGACCTTTGGCACTTGGACAGTACACACCAGCTGAAAAAGACAATTACAATGTGTCAATTTTGTCCATTGATATTACTGGTGAGATATTTTATTAATATTTTGAACAAAAGTATTACCTAAACAGATTCTAATTCTGTTCCTTCATAATATAAGTTCCAAATGGAAAAAATATTCTGTAATATTATTTTACTGGTACAAATATAACAGTACAATGTACATAAATCAATGCAACCATTATCTGTTCTAGTGTCCAGTACAGATAAATATCTATTCAACTCAGTTAAGTTAGGCTTAGTGATGAGTAGTCCAATGTTAACCTTTTAGCTTCCAAATTTTAAACTTTCAAGATGTTTGAATTTCAAAATTTATTTCTGACCCATCTCAAATACCAAAAGTTACAAAATGAAAAGGAGTTGAAAGGACTGAGTGATAATCTTTAATTGTCAGACTTCTCATCAAGAAATGTTTTATTCAGGATATCCATACAATTATATCTATTTACTATAAATTCTAAAATTTTTGGCATGTTTTTATTATTTAAAAATATGACAGGATATGTCTTGCAAAAAAAAAATCTCACATTTTGAATTGAAATATGATACCATTATTCATATGCAGCATTTGGTGAAATCACAATAATTAATCTCACATTTAGTAAATTGTTCTAAATTTTAAATTATTCGAAGTTAATATTGTTTTTCTTTTAATGAAAAATCTTACCTCTTGCATCATCCGGATGCTTGTTATTTTGACCCAAGTTGAGGTCAGGTGACTCATATAAAGGTCGCAACCATGGTATATCTGTAAGTAATTCCCACCTTGAAGAATTGCTGTTGTAACCTAAGTAAAAAAAATTCACAATATATTATTTTTACGTCTACATAAATTAATCGGTTTTTCCTGTACAAAACCCCTCAGATGTTCTCAAGTTCTTTTGGCCTAAAAAAGCAATCTTTTGTCGTAACTTTTTTACCACTAATCTGGAATATTTTGGTAATCTTAGTATCAAATGAAAGCTAAATGACAGGTGATCATTGTAAAACATTTTTTTACTAATAACTTTGAACAATTAAAAAATTGCATGAAATTTAAAGAGGAGGGTACATTTTCCTGTTCCTCAGATCTGAAGTGCCTGTTTTGGTACTTCCTAAGTTTCGGTAACTAGTGCCCTCTTATATACAATTAAAGGTATGCTGATTTTTTTTAGCACAATTTGAGCTAAGGCAGTGCTTTGACATGAAATAGCTGTCACTTTATTTCAACTTAAGACAAAAAAGCTATGAATGCTTGAAATTGAAAAATTTAACATAGAAAGTAATAAGACCAAGAATTATTGGTAATGCTTTTGGATCTGCCGAGATTGAATTACATCAACTTAAATCACAACAGTAGTAATATAAAAAATAAATAATTATCAATGGCATAAATAGTAACAAAAGACCATAACTACATGAAAATTTTATTGTATCCTTAACATTGTGTGTTCATTTCTTTGTTTTCATGTGCAGTTTTAATGTCTCTTGAACCCTTTCCCTGAAAGCAAGTGACAAATTCTCCCATGAACATTTTCTTCAATTATACATCCTAACCTGACATTGTATATATAGATCTTCCCCATGGTTAGTTTTGTCTGTCTTCACTTATATATCCTCTCCTGAAATTGTTTATATAGATCATCCCCATGGATAGTTTTCTCTGTCTTCACTTATATATCCTTACATGACATTGTATGTATAGATCATCCTCATGGGTAGTTTTCTCTGTCTTCACTTATATATCCTTACATGACATTGTATGTATAGATCATCCCCATGGGTAGTTTTCTCTTTTTCTTCACTTATATATCCTTACCTGACATTGTATAAATAGACCTTCCCCATGGATAGTTTTCTCTGTCTTCAGTTTCTTGATGTACCCATTCTTTATAACCATAATTTTTAAGCAATTCTCTGAATAACAAAGTACATGTATCATTCCAAGTATCATGGTTCTAATTTAAATAGTAGTTTTCTTAAAGATGGTAACCAAAAGGGGGGGGGGTCTCAATATACAAATTTGAATAAAGGTGTCAGGCTGGGGTTTGTGTCTCGCCTACGATCACTGCTGTCAGTGTAAATGTGTAATGTTGACTTAACAAGTGAGTCCATTTATCAGTAAAATACAGAATTTAAATTTAATCCCAGACTGTCTTTAATGTTAACTGTAAAAAAACTAAGTCCATCTATCAGAAAAATACCGAATATGAAAATATATTTTCAAAAGTTTGCTTCAGACATTATCTCTTAATCATAAAAAAGTTCCATAAAATTCTATGAAAGTTTGACAAAGTACTTGATATGCAACAAACTTTAACCCCAGACTGTATCTACTTGTTAAATGTAAAAACAAGAATGTGTCCATAGTACACAGATGCCCCACTCACACTATCATTTTCTATGTTCAGTTGACCGTGAAATTGGGGTCAAAACTCTAATTTGGCATTCAAATTAGAAAGATCATATCATAGGGAACATGTGTACTAAGTTTCAAGTTGATTGGACTTCAACTGCATCAAAAACTACCCTGACCAAAAACTTTAACCTGAAGCGGGACAGACGGACGCGCAGACCGAAAAATATAATGCCCCTCTACTATTATAGGTGGGGCATAAAAACTATGTCCATTTATCAGTAAAATAAGGAAAAATGAAAATAAATATTTTCAAAATTTTGCTCTGGCTACTGTATTTTGGTCATTAACAAGCTTCTGTCCAAATTTTATAAAATTCCGTGAAGGTTTAACAAAGTTATTGATGACTGAAAAACTTTAACCTCAAACTGAATCTGAATGTTAAGTGTGAAAAAAAACTAAGTCCATTTATCAGTAAAATACAGAAAAATCAAAATCAAAATTTTGCTCTGGCTACTGTATTTTGGTCATTAACAAGCTTCTGTCCAAATTTCATTAAATTCCATTAAGGTTGGACAAAGTTATTGATGACTGAAAAACTTTAACCTCAGACTGAATATGAATGTTAACTGTAAAAATCAAAGCCTTAAAGGCCGTTAAAGCAATTGCTGCCTAGTTAATGTTTTTGTGACTTATATTTTTTATCCACATGTAAAAGAATTAAACCTGACAGGAGTCTTATCTAGTGAGAAGTAAGGATGTTTAACTTTATATCAATAAAAGACTTATCCAGCAGAAAGTAATATTTACAATTTTTTACATTTCCCAGGGGACGACACATTTACCTGGCTTATGGTGGAGGCAAATATATTTGAGGAAACGTATAACTCCCGAAAAAATCATAATTGATTATCCCCATCTAGAGTGTTTATTACTGGGCAATAATTCACATGACAATCCATGTACCTGGCTTCATTATCTTTATTGCTTTTATTTTAATGTTAATGATATCATAATTTGTGTTAAATTTAACCATTCAGTTGATGATTTCAACTTTAGTGACAAGAGTGTTCTACTGAACTATAGTTTTTTATAATAAGAATCATTCATTCATACATACCGATGAAAGATTTGAAGATGGGACAGGTTTATGAAATTTTCATGAAATGCACGTTACTGTCGATTAACCTGGGAACTGGCTTACGTTTTACCCCTTTCATTACTAATGACATAATCACGTAAAAAAATTAACGCAATGGATTCTAAAATAATTAAAATTTTCAGTTAAAAATCTTCAATACGCTTGACGATTTCCTGCATGGTCAATGCTAGTAAGATATATTTTAAACCATCCAATGAAAAAACGCTGATTATGCATTACACAAAACCAGAGGCATGACGAAACATTATATAAGTAAATAAAAAGATTATTTGGGTTTACCATACGACAAACAGAAACATTTTTTCATTTAAATGTTTTTGATTTTTAAAACTTCAGAATAATAAAACACAAAACTTTTTAATTCCCGCGAATTACAGATAAAATGCTTCGCTGGGGCGCAGCTTGATACGACCGCAGAGGTCGAACCCTGAACAGTTGGGGCAAGTATGGACACAACATTCAAGCTTGATACAGCTCTGAATTTGGATTGTTATTAAATATTTGACACAGCATAGGTTTCTGACACAGAAAGAATGTGGTCTAAGAACTTGAATTTTTTTAATTTACCTATTATGGTCCAATGTCCAAAATCAAAATACATGGATAGATTCAGCATATTAAAGAACCCCATATATTCAATTTTTGTTAAAATCAAACAAAGTTTAATTTTGGACCCCAACTTGGACAAACTTGAAAACTGGGCCCATAATCAAAAATCTAAACACATGTTTAGATTCAGCATATCAAAGAACCCCAAGAATTCAATTTTTGTTAAAATCAAACTAAGTTTAATTTTGGACCCTTTGGACCTTAATGTAGACCAATTTAAAAAAACGGGACTTAAAATTAAAAATCTAAATACACGGTTAGATTTGGAATATCAAAGAACCCCAATAATTCAATTTTTGATGAAATCAAACAAAGTTTAATTTTGGACCCTTTTGACCTCAATATGAACCAATTTGATAGCAGGGCCCACAAATAAAAAATCAAAATTCATGGTTAGATTCAGCATATCAAAGAACCCCATATATTCAATTTTTGTTGAAATCAAAAAAAGTTTAATTTTGAACCCCAACTTGGACAAACTTGAAAACTGGGCCCATAATCAAAAATCTAAACACATGTTTAGATTCAGCATATCAAAGAACCCCAAGAATTCAATTTTTGCTAAAATCAAACTAAGTTTAATTTTGGACCCTTTGGACCTTAATGTAGACCAATTTAAAAAACGGGACCTAAAATTAAAAATCTAAATACACGGTTAGATTTGGAATATCAAAGAACCCCAATAATTCAATTTTTGATGAAATCAAACAAAGTTTAATTTTGGACCCTTTTGACCTCAATATGAACCAATTTGATAGGGGGGCCCACAAATAAAAAAATCTAAATACATGGTTAGATTCAGCATTTCAAAGAACCTCATATATTCAATTTTTGTGGAAATCAAACAAAGTTTAATTTTGGACCCCAATTTGGACCAACTTGAAAACTGGGCCCATAATCAAAAATCTAAATACATGTTTAGATTCAGCATATCAAAGAACCCCATATATTCAATTTTTGTTGAAATCAAACAAAGTTTAAATACTGGACCCTATCTTGGACCAACTTGAAAACTGGGCCCATAATCAAAAATCTAAACACATGTTTAGATTCAGCATATCAAAGAACCCCAAGAATTCAATTTTTGTTAAAATCAAACTAAGCTTAATTTTGGACCCTTTGGACCTTAATGTAGACCAAATTAAAAAACAGGACCCAAAATTAAAAATCTAAATACACGGTTAGATTTGGAATATCAAAGAACCCCAATAATTCAATTTTAGATGAAATCAAACAAAGTTTAAATTTGGACCCTTTTGACCTCAATATGAACCAATTTGATAACGGGGTCCACAAATAAAAAATCTAAATACATGGTTAGATTCAGCATATCAAAGAACCCCATATTTTTAATTTTTGTTGAAATCGAACAAAGTTTAATTTTGGACCCCAATTTGGACTAACTTGAAAACTGGGCCAATCTAAATACATGTTTAGATTCAGCATATCAAAGAACCTCATATATTCAATTTTTGCTAAAATCAAACAAAGTTTAATTTTGGACCCTTTGGACCTTAATGTAGACCAATTTGAAAACTGGACCCAAAATTAAAAATCTAAATACACTGTTAGTTTCGGCATAACAAATAAATAAATGTGATCAAAGATTTTACAAATCTAATGCGCCATACTGTGCAATTAAAGATTACTTCTTGAAATTTTTCAATATTTGAAATTTGAAAAAAAAATAATATTTGAAGAATATTTCTTTTTAATTTCTGAAATCTGAAATGAGAAAAAATTGACCCCCCACAATTTCTTTTTATCCCCCCCCCCCCCCACCTTTTTTCCCCCAAAAAATTCTTTCCCTCAAGATATAGTCATAATCTCAATTCAAATTTCCAATGGAGTTGGCAACCATAATTACCCATTTAAATTTACCATAGTGCTAACTTAATCTATTTTATAATAGAATTAAAAATATAGTGTCAAATCTTTCATATGGATTTTTTTGTAAAAAAAAAAGATGCAACATTTGCAGATATTTTTACTGGTCTTCCTTTATAAATATGCATTTCTTTAAACATAATTTAAAAGCAGTGTAAGGGAAGTAACTAAAACGTTGTATTTGGATTACCTCCCTTACACTGTTTTAAATTATCTTTATTGTTCATTAACCATTACTTTATACATAATTTAAAAGCAGTGTAAGGGAGATAATTTCAATGATGTATTTGATTTATCTCCCTTACACTGCTTTAAATTATGTTTTGTACTAAAGTATTTGTCCATTAACCAGGACAACCTTGTTTTTCCCCCTTTTTTGCCCCTAATTCCTAAACGGTTTGAGCCATAACCCCCCAAAGCAAATCCTTACCATCCCTTTGTGGTATGGAAACTTGTAGTATAATTTCAGAGAGATCCATACACCGTTGCACAGTTATTGTCTGGAAACTAGAAAATGCTTATTTTTGGCCCCTTTTTGGCCCCTAATTCCTTAACTGTTGGTACCATAACCCCCAAAATCAATCCCAACCTTCCTTTTGTGGTATTTAACCTTATGGTCAAATTTCAAAAAGATCCATTCACTTAAACTAAAGTTAGAGTGCGAAAACCAATGTGTATTCGGACGACGACGCCGGACGACGACGACGACGACGCCGGACGACGACGACGACGACGACGATGCCAACGTCATACCAATATACGACCACAAAATTTTTTTGCGGTCGTATAATAATTGCATAGAGGGTCATTATGACATTTGACACTGTCTCGAGAAGTAACCTTGATCAGTTGATCATTTTATCATTTGTTTACATAGTGGAGTCTATCAGTATCAATCATCAGCAATTAAGGAAACCCTTAATAAATAACAGGGCCCGTAATTTCAAGGAAGTATTACCAACATGGTAAGTGTAATCAGAACTCGTAAATTGTGCTACTTTTAATTTAAAACAAATGATGCGAGATAAGATTATATTACTATATAACGTGCATAGTGATTTTACGATAATTTTATGAATGAACGATAATTACATGAATGAACAAGAGCAACTTCACCTCTTTCAAAAAGAAACACGAATTAAACAGCATAAAACCGTATATAAAGAGATAATTCAGTCAAATTTTCAATATTAAATCAACAACTGACATGCTTCAATATTTTGTTGAAACATCTCAAGAACGAAATCGCAGGTATAAAAATGCACTTTTTCACTGGGACTTCTACGTTCTTTGATAGTCAAACAGTTGTCCCCTTAAATACAAAAGTACATCTACAAGAACATATGTTGAAACTTCACAAACCCACTGTTGTTTTTTCAACTGTTTCAATTAATGTATTTCAATAGAAAACATGCATAGGATTTATAGAATGACAGACGAGGAATCTGCTCAAAAACTGGCTTGATCTGGGTTACAAAGATGGTAATACGCCATAGCATTAAAGCAATTGCTTAAAAACCAAGTCCATTTATCAGTAAAATACGGAAAGATGAAAATAAATATATTCAAAATTTTGCTCTAGATACTGTATTTTGGTCATTTCTTAAAATTCCATGAAGGTTTAACAAAGTTATTGATGTCTAAAATAACTTTAACCACGGACTGAACCTAAATGTTGACGACGCCAACAACGGAATCTAGGATCCCTATGTCTCGGTTTCGCGTCATAAATGTTGAGGCTCCAGTTTTTACAGACATCTAAACAGAAGATGAACATGTATGACCCATTGACAAATAAATTTCAACCCAATGATATATTTCCTCTGTGAAATTTCACCCTATTGATATATTTGGCATTCAAAAAATGTGACCCATACCAACGGTACGTCTGTGTATACCTTTAAATAGGAAGAGACCCCCCCATGAGAACTTGTTCTGTCTGAATAAGAACTGAAAAGTGGTCCTACTATATATTTCAAACTTACAAAGTATGTATTAAACTTATGATGAAGCAATGCATTGATCTATTTACCGACTACAAACAGGTCTATCTTTAAACTAAACTATTACTAAACTTAAAATAAACCATTAACCATTTAAGTGATTGTATAGAAATATAATTCACCTGATACAGGTACTAATACTTAATGAAAGGTTCATCTGATCACACAAAATTTCAAGTCATTGATCAATTAATTATAAAAGTCAGGTCAAGGTCAAGGAAATATTAAACACTTCACATTTCACAAGGGTTTCTGAGAATGTCTACATATTTTCATGAAATTATCTTTAAACTCAGTTCAGTCTGTTTCAAAAAAGGATTTGTTTTTTTTTCATTTCTACATCCATCACAATTGTATTTGAACTTACAGATTCATTCCAGCTATGAGATCCTGCCAGGTTTGAACACGAACTCTGTTATACATAGTTTCTAAAGGTTCTGGACTGTGGTCATAAATGATACATATACTATAGTCAATATCTTTCTTCGAAAACAAGTCTCTCTCCAAAGTTCTTGCATCAAACTGAAATATATCATATACAACTGCATGTAAATTTAGAAAAGCTAATTATTATTAACCCACTGAAAGGTATTCAATACATCTAAAAAATGACTAAGGGAGCTGCCATTTGATTTTTATGGGGGGCTAGGATGAAAAATTTTGTCTTGCATTTTTTTTTAAGTTGTAATCTCTGTCCTGCCTTTTTATTTTTCACTCCATTCGGTCCTGCCTTTTTTTTTAGTTTATCCTGACTTTTTTTTACGTAAATTGTCATCCTGCCTTTTTTTTTGCAAAGTGTCTCATCCTGCCTTTTTTTTACTCAAAACTCCTGTCCTGCCTATTTTTTTTCAAATTTCATCCTAGCCCCCCCTCATAAAAATCAAATGGTAGCTCCCTAAAATTAACAAACATCATCAACCTTGGATGAATCTAAATTTTCAAATCTCTGGTGAAGTTGTATGAATCAAATAACAGATTAACAGGTATTTCCTAGTAGTGTTTCAATATCAATAAAATTAAGAAGATGTGGTATGAGTGCCAATGAGACAACTCTCCATCCCAGTCACAATGTGTAAAAAGTAAACAATTATAGGTTAAAGTACGGCCTTCAACACGGAGCCTTGGCTAGCTCACACCGAACAGCAAGCTATAAAGGGCCCCAAAATGACAAGTGTAAAACTATTCAAATAGGAAAATCAACGGTCTAATCTATACAAGAAACGAGAAACACTTATGAACCACACCAACAAACGACAACCACTGAACAACAGGCTCCTGACTTAGGACTAAGGACTTTAAATTTTATTTTACTTCACCTTTTGTACAATATTTTAGTTTCTAGACGAGTGAACCAACACCTTCTAACGGTACAGGCCAGTAGAGTAATCAGGATGGATACCGAAGTATGCTGCGGTTGTCTTAAAACCTTGGGGAAATATAATTATAAAAAAACAACAACATCCTGGATTACTGCAAGGAAATGCTTTATTCTGGTCTACATGTTTCGCAACTTATGGTGGCGTCTTCAGGACAAATTAATGGTAGGAAACAAGTGTAGAAGTACATAAAATGCAGTTCATATGGGGTTACAAAAAGTTTTACAAGACGTAACGTCACAATTATTGGTTTGACAACGTTAAAATAAAAGTAAAAGTTAATAATGAATTGTCAGTATCTTTTCCAAAATGGACAACACTTTTAAAAATTGTGACTTGGCACTCATACCACATCTTCTTATATCTAACACCTCACTGGACATATAAATAAAGCATTTCCTTGCAGTAATCCAGGATAATGTTGTCTTTTTATAGTTATATTTTCCCGAGGACATATTGCGAAACAAAAAAACAGCGAAGGTAAAAAATTAGGCAGAAGAAAAAAATAATAATCAGAACAAAACCAATAGGTCCTTCCACAGAAAAGTGGAAAGACCTAATAATTATATAAATATTATTATTAATAAGAATGGTGAATGAGAATCCAGGTAGAAAAAATTTAGACTCAGAGTTTTGACGTGAAATTTGATATAATCTAACCGTGAATAAAGAATGGTGTATTCATTTATGTATGTAGCATTTGTCATTGGTTTAGTCAATTACATACAGAGAGATATCTATAGGATTTGAAATTTTCCTATGTTTTATATGGTGTGGATGGTATAGCTTCAAAGAACGTGTATATTGGTTCAACTGTCAATCAATACTTGATATTAAACACTTGCAATTCTAGCCCTGGATACTTAAATAGACAAATACATAAATATAGTTCTTTTTGTAATACATGTGTGTAACATGATCAGTTCAATGAAAGTTGAGAGAAAAACTGGTAAATAAATGTTAGCACAACTAACTGGACCACTTTGAAGATATCCAGCCCAATACGATATCATGTTGACCAACATGAACTTTCAGCTTGTATGGGCCAAACTGAAAATTCAATATTGTAGGGACAACAATTATATATAACATACAGTTTTATTTAAATTTAAGTCCTATGTTGTGGATTCATTATTATTCATATAGTACTTATATTCATGGATTTCCTGGTTATAGGTAAACCATTAATTTTAGTGTAGTATAGACATATTTACACTTGTATGCAAATTTGTCTGCCATTACGTATAATCACACAAGTTCCCGTAAAATTTGACATCACAATTTAAAAAATTTGATGTCACAATTAAAAAGTGATTGTTACTTGATGTCAGAAGGTAATTCAGAGCAGATCTTAGGTCATTCGGAGACAAAATTCAGCTAAATACCAAAAGTGTAAATATGTTTATTGTATACAGAATTGATAATAAACACAAAATCAAGTATTTAAAATCCAGAAAAATTAGTATTCATGAAAATAAATGAATTCACAGTAATACAATGTATATTAAAAGTTTTTGACATAAAACTAACCTGACGCATTGGCCTAATAACAGTTTTAATCATGCTTCCCTTTGCCAATATCTACCTGCTCAGTGGCTCTGTAATTTTCTTATCACATCTCTGAGACATGAGCAGAAGTTATCAGTGACATCACAATGTCCAAGGAGAAGTAATCAGTGATTTCACAATGTGTGAGGAGACATTATCAAGCCTACCTTTATCAAGAGTAAAATGTTCTAAGAGAGTGAAACAACCAGATATAGCTAGAAATAGCAAGATTAACAGATTATCAGGTTTTCTGCATATAGATATCTTAAGATATAAGCCTCTTGACCAAGGGTCCGGAAACGGTCATATATGCCAGACATGACCGATTTGGAAACTGAAAAGACCGAAATGATTTATTGGGATTTAGGTCTTTTTTTTTTTTTTTAACAGAAATAATTTCGGTCATTTCATTGAGATCAGGGTTTTATCGGTCGCCATTTTGAACTTATTTTTGTTTTCAGGTCATCAAGAAAAATAGATTTGTTTGAGACAAAATAAAAATTTTATTGATTTGTGTTAGTGATTTAATAATATTTATCATTAGTCTGTTGTTTATTCTATAATGTAAGTAAAAACAATGTACAGGACTCTGTCGAGTCACAGCGTGGGGTAAGTCTGGGTTCAAGCCACTAGGTTTGTTTACATAGTAAGGATAGTAATCAATGTCCAGGAAGTTTGAATTCGGCTTGGGTGTCGTTATTGTCTTGATTAAAGCCATAAAGGCCATGTACACAAATCTCACCTGTAAACACCTGTTAAGCAATAAAAACAATATGGTGATTTGCTGTGCATCAAATTTAACGTTTTAACCATTCTGACCTAGATTTTCCCAAACAGATATTATTTTATTCATTAAAGAAGACAAATAACACTGTTGACCCGAGAATCTGTCTATTTTTATCCAAATAAAACATATAATCCATTTATAATCGATCAGCTGATTTGGTCAACGTTTGTTAAATATAGATTTATGTTTACTGAGTTTGCGCATGGAAAATGGGGATCAACATGGGTTAATTGATAATCTTATTTGAAAGATCGATTTTACTGTTAACTTTTCGGTAGGAAATGGCAGATAAAGATATTAATAGATTTGCAAAAGTGGTAAAGCGTATAATTTATAGGAATGCAGAATTAAAAAAAAATGTTTAAAAAAGGAATTAAAACTAAATAACGTAATTTAGATTTGAAGCCATACAGCCTATTTAAGAAATATACTCAGCGAATGAACAATCTCGATTTTTTTTTGTTTTTTTTGCACTTCCGATTTTTTGAAACCATCTTACTCACAGAATGTAATGGGCGTTATCCTTTCTTTTGTTTTCCTGGCTAAACTTCCGATTTTTACCCAAGTGAAGCCATACATTCTCTCTGTAAAGACCAACAGAATTCATGGTTTCCCCTTTTTGATCCTCATATCGTAAACCAGGTGAATACACATTATCTTGTTGTGTATTAGGTAATCACTTACACTCATCCAAACAGCAGCAATTTGAACAATACAAACGATATCTTGTACATGCAATAAGAAGCTCAACACAGTTTATTAATTGGTTTACATAACTTTATTTCAAAATGATGAAACATGCCGTATTTTATTCCTCTTTTAATTTATGCAAATTTAAAGGGTTATGCATACGACCTCAGTGATGCAATACACAACAACAAAACGTCTCCTCGTGTAGTTTCTAACTCAGAGACATCACTGTTACTGTTAGATCAAGGTACAGTTACACTTGTTTGACCCAATACTTCACAAAAAAGGACTTTACTTGTCCATGTGCAAGACTTGTCACCCTCAGAAAAATGCATTATTGTGCATCACGATATTATTACATCACAAAAAAAAAATGACCGAAATGACTTGGGAAAATTTCCGGATCCTTGCTCTTGACACAAAGTGAAGTTTTTTCGCCAAAAAATTTCACAGCTGATATTTAACGATATCAATGCGAAGAAAACCAGGTAATCTGTACGTATATCAAAAGGTTTTGATACAAAACTAACCTGATGCATCGGCCTAAGAAAGATAAGTCTGCTTTTTCTACTCTGAAGATCTCCTATTTGTTTGACCATGCCATTCTCATCAAGCTTCTTACACTGGGTGAAGTCTATTCTATTCAGTACTGGTGCTTTCTTAACTGTCATGGATTTCAATACTCTGCTTGCATGACCTGAAAATATACATTGTGCTATCGATATATGAATATCTAAGGAGTGCCTGAATGCTGATAGATATGCAAAACAAATGTTTATCAAGTTACTTTCAAGTTGATGTTTTCACTTAAAAAGTTTTTAAAAGACATTTTATATTCATGATTTCATTTATACCAATGAGTTACGCTAGCCTTTATTCATTAAAGCAACCAAGTGCTTTGACGTAGAAAGAAGCACCAACCTTTCAAATATCCAAATTTAGATTAAACATCTGCACTGTTCTAAAGTTAATAATTACTTTTTATAGATATATATAAATTATGACAATAAAACTTCTTTTTCCCATTGTTTCCAAAAGTTAATAAGTATGAAAGGCTTTTTCTGAAATTGGGGTTGTCAACAGAACTAGACATACAGCAAATTTGGAAATCAATGTGTGCCTTTATTATCGGGAATCCCAAATGACCATGCAAATTAAAGATTTAAAACCATGTTGTAGTACAATGTACATCATTAGTATAAATTTACTAAACATCCTGTTGCATTTCGCTTATTACTCTAAATAATGAATAATTTCTGGCTTTCCAGTATATAAGGTAAAAAGAATATTTAAAGTTACTGTGGATTCATTATTATTCGTTGGATACCAATTTTCGTCGATTTCGTGGGACAGGTGATCCACGAATTTAAATGTTCAACGTATGGCACATTTTAGATAAAGTTATATGCAGACTTTGACAAAACCACAAAATTAAATATCCTTGAAAATGCAAGTTTTCCTCAATCCACGAAAATTGACATCCACGAAAATAAATGAATCAACAGTACTACATGTAAGAGTACATCTTGACGTTTGTGGAAAGCATAAAACATCAATAGTCAGTGTAACAGAGGTTGAACTGTCAACATGGAAATACAGTTCATTTCACTGGTTTGCATAATGCATAATTGCATAATTTTGTTATCTGCATAACTTTCTCCTGCAATGAATCATTTGCCTATTCTTCTTTTAAGTAAAAATCATCTGGTTATTTGCATAGCCTGACAAGAGGCCTTTCAGTTTATTGCATAGCAAAGAAAGTTTATCTGGATGTGTTAAATTAAAAGTTAAAATGATTCTTTTTTACCATAAATTGTAATATCTAGGTAACGCTAAACACATTTTTTCAAAATGAAGCTTTACTGAAATAAAGTTGTAAACTGTGAAACAAATCTTTTGTAGTGTTATTGAATAAGTATTTAAGTGGGTGTTTCATTTTTAGGACATTTAGTTAAAGTGTAACTAGTTGATTCAAATTTTGATGTTTGTGCATATTTTTCAGTATACCAATAACCTTTTATTTTTATTCAAGTGCAAAACTATACGCAACGGAGGATTTAAGTTAACCAGAAAACAAATTTTATCCCACCAAATTTTGTGCTTGTGCCAAACTATGCTACCTTTCCATAATACTGTATTGTGTTGAGTTGGTTTTTTTTGGGTGTCAAATATTATCAATAATATTGATAATGTTTACACGATATTCATCACTACAATTTCAAATTTTTTTGTTATCTGAATTTTTGTTATTTTTAATTTTCATTCAATTAGAATAATAATTTCAGAAAAATACCATGTTAATTTTGTCTAACCTGATAATTTACTAAGTTTTGGACAGTCCTCCAGTATCAAATCTGTAATGCCTACCATGTTCAGTGTCATACACTGTAAGGAACGAGACTTTAATGTCAAAACCTGTAAAAAAACATAGGATAATCAGAGCACATGTACACCACACAAGTTTCTGGAAAAAAACATTCAAATCAGTATAAATATAAGAAGGTGTGGTATAATATAAAAATAAGAAGATGTGGTATGATTGCCAATGAGACAACTCTCCACAAGAGACCATTAATATAATGGAATATGTAGACAGCTCTCTCACAAGCAAAAAACCCTAACTGTAAAATATAAGGGCATACACTACAGGCACGGGGACACATTCTACTGCATCAACACAGCACGAGTAACAAACCCTGCAGTAAATATAAAAATAAGAAGATGTGGTATGATTGCCAATGAGATAACTCTTCACTATGATAGCCCATGAGACAACTCTCCACCAGAGATCAAATGACATAGAAGTTAGGAACTAAAGGTCATCATACAGCCTTCAACAATGAGCAAAACCCATCCCACATATAGTAAGCTAAAAAAGGCCCCAAAATAACAAATGAAAAATAATTCACACAAGAAAACTAACTAAATAATCAGGATTATACTATCAAATCTTTGGGAAGCAAAATCTCTAAATAACACATTAATTCATAATCATCAAAAACAAACTGGTCTAAAAGAATAGCAAAATTTTAAGTTATTTTTTCCCATTAAAAAGGAGATATGTTAATAGAAGGAAAACTTTATGTCAGATCTTTTAATATTTTCTTTGTTATTTTGAGAAGTTGGTGTCGAAAAACAAATCTGTGATGGTTTCTATAGAATTTATTAACAATTATTATTAGACTTGGGACAATTTACAGATTGACATATTGTATACTAGGGTCTTTTCACATAATTGTAAATTCAGAAATCATTGTGAGGTTTTTATTAATGCAAATAATGCGTCTATTTGAGTATTGCATTAATAAGAATTCGCATTCTGATATCTGATATATTTGTATGAAGCTTTTCCTAAAATAGCAATAACTAAATTTGCATTTTTGTTCATTCTGCAAAAATTGCAATAATAAATGCATGCTATAATTTCTGAATTTACAGTTGTAAGGGTCATCCTTTATGAAAAGGTTATTTGTACGGATGTAACACAAAAATTGTATCACATAACCTTTAACCTGTACATGTTGTACGGGTCATCCTCAACGAAAAGGCTACTTGTACCAATGTATCACATAAATTATATCCCATAACCTTTACCCTTTTCAAGACTATCATATATATGACTGTGTCACTTGTACTTAACATGGATGATAATAACTGGACATTAGACCGACCTGAACACGATCATCTTCCATGACTGGGTCACTGGTACTGGTCATCTTATCACACATAACAGGAGACTTCTTAGATTTCTGGACAATCTTAATATAACCACTTGTACCACCTGTAACAGTCCAAAAGAACAATTATTATCTGACATTTCCTTCCATAAGGTCAATGTCAAATTCATTTTAGGGTTTTATTTTGTGTTGTTTGGTTTCTGTCTCAGTCACTGATGCCTAATATAATATCCCAATAACCTTTCATTCACTATAAGATATGTACCTTAAACCTCAAAAGAACTTAGTCTCACCTCCATAGATGACACTACAGTGTGTATCAACAGAATTACTATTTATTACTTTTTGTTTGCACCAACTTAATAAAGCAGGATTTTGGTTGTGTTTGTGCTGCTCAATCTTAAGTTTTCTATGTTGTGTTTTGTATACTGTTGTTTGCCTTTTGGTCGTTTTTCATTTTTTTGCCATTGTGTTGTCAGTTTGCCATCAACTTATGAGTTTGAATATCTCTTTGATATCTTCCACCTCTCTTTCAATAAATATATTTATCAGTGGGTTCTGTTTTTTTACTATTTTTGCTATTATTTTATCACTTTCTACACGTTTTGATGAAAATGTAGTTAACAGCCAAATTTTGCTCACATGAACTTCACGTATAAGCTTGATTAATAAATTCATGCAAGCAAAATTTGCCTCTGTACTAGTATTTATTAAGATTACTTACAGGAATTCTGGCCATCTTTACTTGCAGTGCCTGCAGTTTGTCTGAGATCACTAACATTGACTTGGCACCATCGATCAAACATAATCTTCAATGTTATTACTTTGCGTGCAACACATTTCTTTTTAAAATTACTCGGTGTATCAAAATTTGACACAGACTTCCTTTTTCTGTCCTCTAATCCTACTTCATTTTGGTCATCTTCTTGTTTCTGACGGGATTTTGATCGTGTCATGGGACATGAATATTGCTGTTCCTCAGAATCATTATCGTTCACTACACTAGAATTATCTGATTTTGTATATGCTGGGTTCATAAATACTTCATATTTCTTATCGCTAGATTCTTTTCCATTTTCTTCATTTTTATTTTCTAAAATAAAAACTTCCCTTTTATCATTATCTCTTTTCCTAGGTTTTTGTACATTCTTTATGTAGTTTATACTCTTTTGATTTCCTGAGGATTTAGTTTCACTCTTTGATGTTTCATTGTCACAGTTAGATGTAGACGCATTGTTCAGCACAACTGAATCTTTATCCAAGTTTTCAACACTTTCCATACACCCCTCTGCTACTGAAGTTTGTGATTTAGTTTTCCTTACCAATCCCTTTTTCTTTCCGTACAAACTTTTCCCATTTCGCGTAGCAACACCTGATGTGCTACATTCAGAATTAGCAGCACACGATTCTGTTTTGTTCTCACTTTTCACCTGATCCACTACTTCCTGTCCAAATTGTTCATTTATTTCATGAGATTGTCCTTCCTCTGTCAAAATGTCTGACTCTAAAACACTTTTACCCTGATGTATGGAATCATTTTTATTAAGATCATGTGTGTCTTTTTCATATAAATCATGATCATCTTTGACCTCACATTGAGATTTATCTGTCACACACAGTGAATTATTTGACACATTATCAGTTTCTGCACTTTCATTAGATATTTTGCATGTCTGTGTTTGTGACACACGACTATTTTCCATTTTGTCGTAACTTTCTGCACTATTACCTTGACATAGAACACATTCAGTAGTTATAACTGACGTTTCCTTTTTACTCAACCAGTCTGAATCACATTTTTTGCATCTGTATGGGTGACCAGTCACACATGATGAAGGATTTCTATCACACACACCTTTACCCTCAACAGGTTTTACCTCTGGCGATGACATTGTATCTACAGAATTACTATTTATTACATTTTCATCTGAACTAACTTTTATAGAAGACTTAGAAAATGAAGGCAAATTGTCTCTATTAACACACTTTCCTCCATTAGAAGCTTGATCCTTATAATTTTGGGTACCACATCTATGGCTTTCTGACTGACATTTGTGTCTGCTTGTTGGCAAAGAAATACTGTATTCAGAAATATAGGTGGAACTTGATGCTGACTTATCTTTTAATGAATTTTTGTCATCATTTAATTCAGCACTTATTGCAGGTCCAACATTATTTTCTGTTTCTGTATGAAATAAACTTTCATTGGAAGTTGCAGTCTCAGACATTTCTTTACTATTTTCGTTATTACTAGATGAATCATTTGTTTTGCTGTCAGCTTCCATGTCTATCATTTCAATATTTTTAGCATCATCAACATCACAAAGACCTTGCTGTTGATTGGCTAAATTTCCATTGTCAGCAATATTCTGATTGGATGCGGCATCATTATCCTTCTGTTTGGCTAAATCAATATTGATAGGAATATTCTGATTGGCTGCAACATCAGCATCATCATTACCATCTTCAACATTAGGTTCTATAGCATTTAAATTATTCACTAAATGTCCATTGACTACAACAATATTGACTTCATCATGATCATCAGCTGCATTTTCAAGTGCTATGTTATCTGCATTTTGATTGGCTGCAACATTATTCATATTGTTATTTGCATTTTGATTAGCAGCAATATTATTCAAATTATTATTAACTTCATTCTGATTGGGAACTTGGTTATTCTGAACCACAGGAGCATCAGGGATAAGAGAAGATGATAAACCAAATCCAGTGCCTGCACTCAAACCAACCCTGTTTGGATAAAAAAATTATAAGAGTGAATAGGACTACATTCATCATATATACCTTTTGTTTCTGTCCTTTATACCTCCATGCTTAATCAGGTATATGACTCAATTTACTATACTATAATCAATATGAAATAATCCCAACAAAAAATTTATAGAATAAAACAAAACTTTACGGTATTTGAATATACAATTACAATATACTTGCCTGCTTTGTGATTGATAAAAAGACAGCACATTTCTATGGGTGTTAAAGGTACATGCATCAATGTCTATTAAAATGTTATTTTCGTTGATGGAGGAAAATTTATAATTTCGTACCCACGAAAATACAAATTTTCCTCAATTTTCGTGGTTTTACCAAAGTCTGCATACATGCATATAGAAAGTCTGTACTTCATTGAACATCTAAATTTGTGATTTACTAATGAGTCCGCAGTATATCATTTGACCTTTGAATAAACTGTTAGATATACAGCATGCAGCATTGAATCTAAATCAATAATCAATTACCAGAAAAATAGTATATAGATCATTTAAGGTTTATGCTAGGACTTTTATTTGTTTATGATTATTTAGAGATGTATGAATTTAAAATAATAACACAGTATATATCAAGTATGGTTCACATGATGAATGTTTGATGTAAGAATATATGACCTTTAGTTGATATCTTTGTTACCCACATATGTAGGTACATTCTTTACATGTATGTAATCCAGTGTATGGATATATATATGACCTTTAGTTGATATCTTTGTTACCCACATACTTATGTAGGTACATTCTTTACATGTATGTAATCCAGTGTATGGATATATATATGACCTTTAGTTGATATCTTTGTTACCCACATATGTAGGTACATTCTTTACATGTATGTAATCCAGTGTATGGATATATGTATGACCTTTAGTTGATATCTTTGTTACCCACATATGTAGGTACATTCTTTACATGTATGTAATCCAGTGTATGGATATATATATGACCTTTAGTTGATATCTTTGTTACCCACATATGTAGGTACATTCTTTACATGTATGTTATCCAGTGTATGGATATATATATGACCTTTAGTTGATATCTTTGTTACCCACATATGTAGGTACATTCTTTACATGTATGTAATCCAGTGTATGGATATATATATGACCTTTAGTTGATATCTTTATTACCCACATATGTAGGTATATTCTTTACATGTATGTAATCCAGTTTATGGATATATATATGACCTTTAGTTGATATCTTTGTTACCCACATATGTAAGTACATTCTTTACACGTATGTAATCCAGTGTATAGATATATATATGACCTTTAGTTGATATCTTTGTTACCCACATATGTAGGTACATTCTTTACATGTATGTAATCCAGTGTATGGATATATATATGACCTTTAGTTGATATCTTTGTTACCCACATACTTATGTAGGTACATTCTTTACATGTATGTAATCCAGTGTATGGATATATTATGACCTTTAGTTGATATCTTTGTTATCCACATATGTAGGTTCATTCTTTACATGTATGTAATCCAGTGTATGGATATATGTATGACCTTTAGTAGATATCTTTGTTACCCACATATGTAGGTACATTCTTTACATGTATGTAATCCAGTGTATGGATATATATATATGACCTTTAGTTGATATCTTTTTTACCCACATATGTAGGTACATCCTTTACACGTATGTAATCCAGTGTATGGATATATATATGACCTTTAGTTGATATCTTTGTTACCCACATATGTAGGTACATTCTTTACAGGTATGTAATCCAGTGTATGGATATATATATGACCTTTAGTTGATATCTTTATTACCCACATATGTAGGTACATTCTTTACACGTATGTAATCCAGTGTATGGATATATATATGACCTTTAGTTGATATCTTTATTACCCACATATGTAGGTACATTCTTTACACGTATGTAATCCAGTGTATGGATATATATATGACCTTTAGTTGATATCTTTATTACCCACATATGTAGGTACATTCTTTTCACGTATGTAATCCAGTGTATGGATATATATATGACCTTTAGTTGGTATCTTTATTACCCACATATGTAGGTACATTCTTTACATGTATGTAATCCAGTGTATGGATATATATATGACCTTTAGTTGATATCTTTATTACCCACATATGTAGGTACATTCTTTACATGTATGTAATCCAGTGTATGGATATATATATGACCTTTAGTTGATATCTTTGTTACCCACATATGTAGGTGCATTCTTTAGATGTATGTAATCCAGTGGTTGTTGTTGGTTGCTGTCATGTCATAATAATTTTTTGTTTATATTTTTTTTGGGGTATAAATCAGGCCATTCATTTTCTCTTTTGATTTGTTTCACTTTTTGCATTGCTAAGGCCTTTTATAGTTTACTATATGGTATAGGTTTTGCTCATTGTTGAAGACTGTAGTGACCTGTAGTTGTTTGCATCCTTCTACTTTAGTCTCTTGGCAATAGTTGTCTCATCAGCCATCATACCACATCTCCTTATTTTCATATGTGTTTAAATGCATATCTTAAAAACCTGCATTAAAGTTTAGTCCCACTCTCATAAATGGACATATCATAACCCCAAAACAAATTGCCAAAGCAGAATGAGGATATAATGTTAATGTAAACCGTATAGACGTACATCTTGATAAACAACTTGCTGCAATATAGCCTTTTTCTTCTGATGCAACATAAAGCAATTACCAATCAATCATGATACACCTAAGCATTTAGAACTTTTGTGAAGATGTATAAAAAAGATCGTGTTGAAGCTGACCAATACTGTATTTTACTCGAATAGTCTGTAAAAATTCACTATAATAAAGGTTATCCATCTTTATGAAGACGTATAAAAATAGATTGGGATGAAGCTGACCAATACTGTATTTATCTCGAATAGTCTGTAAAAATTCGCTGTTATAAAGGTTATCCATCTTTATGAAGTCGTATAAAAATAGATTGGGGTGAAGCTGACCAATGCTGTATTTGACTCTAATTGTAAGTAAATTTCATTATCATAAAGTTAATCCATCAAAACAAGTGTCACCTTATCCCACAACTTGTCTATGTTGGTTCTAATATAATTATTAAAACTGCTATGAAAGTTCAATAAATTTAAGGTGCAAAAAGGGCTTTTTAGGCTAATTTTGTTATTAGAAACACCAAAATATCTTATGACATATTTTCAATTTAAAATGTATTGGAAAAATAAAATTGAACTGAAGTTACTGAATAGTGTCCATATTTTGATAAACACAGAATATTTCCTCACATCAAGTTATATGATTTGAGGTCAGAAGTTGGACATGAAATTGAATCAAAATCACTTTAGCCAAAAGTATAGGTCAGAGTGATATAATTGTGGTAAGATTTTATTATTTTTTCCCATGGTGTATCCTTGCATTTGGTTAACACAGCATAAACTTTTCCCTTAATTCCCATTGGCTTCATACCCAGGTCTTTATAGAGCATCCTTTTGGGGATTCCCTAAACATGACTTCTTACCTAGAGCATCCTTTAAGGGGTTCCCTTAAAATTAGTTCTTACCTAGAGCATCCTTAAGGGCTTCCCTAAACAACTTATTTCCTAGAGAATCCTTTAGGGGGTTTCTTAAACATCAGTTCTACCTAGAGCATCCTTTTGGGGGTTCCCTAAACATCAGTTCTACCAAGAGCATCCTTTAGAGGTTCACTTGACATCAGTTCTTACCTAGAGCATCATTTAGAGGATTCCCCTTAACACGACTACTTACCTAGACATCCTTTAGGGGGTTCCCTGAAATTTAGTTCTTACCTAGAGCATCCTTAAGAGGATTCCCTATACATGACTTATTTCCTAGAGAATCCTTTAGGGGATTTCTTAAACATAAATTCTACCTAGAGTATCCTTTAGGAGTTCACTTAACATTAGTTCTACCTAGAGCATCCTTTAGGAGTCAACTTAACATAAGTTCTTACCTAGAGCATCCGTTAGGGGGTTCCCTTTGCATGACTTCTTACATAGAGCATCCTTTACAGGGTTCCCTAAAAATTAGTTCTTACCTAGAACATTCTTAAGGGGATTCCCTAAACCAAGGCTTCCAAAAAGGTCATATATTCCGGACATTTGTATAATGTCCGGTAAAAGTCCGGCTGGGCAAAGCACGAAATGGTCATCTACTTTTTAGATTTCAAGGCTTTCTTAAGAGACGGTCATTTTAACATAATTCACGATCTTTTTGACCCAACCTTTTGCCTTTAACAGCCACACATTTCCGGTCATAAAAGTGACATGATCATTAAGTACTATCAAAACAACCCCTACTTTAATATCTTCTCATTTTAATCAAGGCTAATTAGTTGTCGAACAGTTGAAATTTACCTGTTCAGGTGACAGGTAAACTATTTTGAACCGGACATTGATGGACATTGATCGGTCTATTCAAAGTTATTTTCTTACATTTCACCGGTTTGCATCTAATTAATTTAGTCAAAAAGATTTAAATTATCAGAAATACATTTATAAATAAGATTTGATGAAAAAATTAAAGAGGTGAAAATGAAAAATCGTCATAACCACGTTGTTTGAACCAGAGACATGTCTCTGTATGAACTAGTACACTTGTGCGCATGTGCATGTGCGCAGGTGTGAAATTTAATTATGCATCCTAATTTCTTAAAAAAATGCTTAAATTGTCATTGATACCTTTATCTCACGTTTATTTCGAATATTTTCTTGAAGAAATAACGTAGAATGAGCTACTTACACTCATTCATGCTTTGCAAACGTACACGGAATTTACGTATCCGTCTCTGGTCCATGTTTTACCATTGTCAAGATAACATCCGGTTTCAGATTTAAAAACGAAAGTAAAGTTTTTGACAACGTTATTTTGCACAAATAAAGAGTCTAAGGCAGATATAAGTACGCTGATGTTGCACACTTCGGATGATGCACTGCCAATTTAACTGTTTACGTCAGAACTTCGAATTTGAATCAAAGAAACTTTAGAAAGTTTAATATCGTTTTTTTTTAAAATATCAATCATTGGGATGGCCAACTCGGCAACTGATTACCATAATTGCCTTTTGTTTATTTAGTCTTAAGGGATTCAAATCGGGATAATATATAAAATGTCCGGCTGGCTAAAAATAATTTTGGAAGCCCTGCCCTAAACATGACTTATTTGCTAGAGAATCCTTTAGGGGGTTCCCTAAACATCAGTTCTACCTAGAACATCCTTTAGGGGATTTCCTAAACGCCAAATCTTACCTATAGCATCATTTAGGGGGTTCCTCTAAAAATTAGTTCTTACCTAGAGCATCATAAAGGGGATTCCCTAAACTGGACTTATTTCCTAGAGAATCCTTTAGGGGGTTTCGCTTAATACCAGATCTTAACTAGATCATCCTTTAGGGGTTCATTAAACATCAGTTCTTACCAAGAGCATCATTTAGGGGATTCCCTAAACATGACTTCTTACCTATAGCATCTTTTAGGGGGTTCCTTAAAAATTAGTTCTTACTTATATAATAGAGCATCATAAAGGGGATTCCCTAAACATGACTTATTTCCTAAAGCATCATTTAGGGGGTTCCCTAAACATCAGTTCTAACTAGAGCATCTTTTAGGGGTTCACTTAACATTAGTTCTTACCTAGAGCACTTTTAGGGGGTTCTCTAAACACCAGATCTTACCTAGAGCATCCTTTAGGGGGTTCCCTAAACATCAGTTCTAAGTGAATGGCCTCTATCACTGGGAGTGAAGGTATAAATGCACAAAATTCTTCTAACTTGATAGAATGACATCTTCTTAATACCAGCTCACGTAGACAATCCCAGGCATTAGCATCTACATTATAACAAAATTGTAATGTAGTTTTTTTTTATATTATCAGCTCAATGTCTCTTATATATGCTTACATGAATTCCTATTTCTGAAATTTTCTCAGTCAAAAGGTTGTTATTTAGTATAAAAATGCCATCTGGAACAAACTTCTGATGTTACTGGCATTTAGTCTTCTCACAAAAACCAATTTTTCAAATAATATCCTTACAAGATGGCAGAACTATGAGCAGAAAACTTTCATTTTCAATTCCAATGACAGTAATAGGGACAAAAGTAGGTTACCAGAATACAACTCATATTTGAAATATAACTTCTCAATATATTTGAGGGACAAAAATTTGTCAGCATAAAAATCTACTTCTAACACTGTTGGTTTTAATTTTCAGACTTATAGATATATTATTAGTTACATGGTGTGTTAGTGACCTAATACGATATATATGGGGTCAGTAAATTCCATATGGGGTGAGAGCGAAGCTCGAATCCCCATATGGAATTTACTGACCCCATATATATCGTATTAGGTCACTAGTACACTGTGTAACGAATTTATCTTACCGACTATCTTCACATGTGGTATTTTGACTAGCGGCCTATCAAAGAGATCAAGTCTTCAATACTTCGTATTAAGATCCTACTTCCATTTGTCTTTACAGAAAACAAATGCCAACAATAGCAACTTTTTAGCTTTAAATTTGTTTTCTTAATTAATTTCAATCGTTCATTACATGTATTATAATTACTTCGCCTGTTGAATCCTTTCAGATTTCTTTTTTTGTTTTGAAAGGGAAGTAACCCAGTTATGCCAACAATAACAACTTGTTAGCTTTAATTATGTTTTATGAACTTATTTCAACCTTTCATCATCAATTTCTTCGTCTGTTGAATCCTTTCAGATTTTTCCTCAACACCGTGTTGTTTTTATGAAGGGTTGTGGCATCATTTTTGTTTTGAAAGGGAAGTAACTCCTTACTAACTCCATATGGTAACTAACCATGTATGGTTGCTAACCCTATATTTTTTAGGACACCCTATATCAAATATACATAGTCACCACATGTAGTCCTTTAACCAATCATATCTCTATAAATCTATAGATTTCTCTATAGAAATCTATAGGAGGTAAGATAAATATATATATATATATATAAATGCCTAAGAATGTAACTTTAACACACTAATGAGTGTTATAAAAATAGTGGTTATATTTCATATATTTGTGCAAATATTTCACTAAACAAATTAGCTTCATCAGGCTCATGCAGCCATCCAGGTAAAAATCGGATGATGTAAAGAAATTTTTGCAGCTTATTGTACATTACAATTATCAAATTAAAACAATTATTTGAAATATTGCATGAATATATAAAATATAACAACTATCTTTAAAACACTCATTAGTAACTGCATCAGTTTATTTTCAAACTGAACTATGCCTAGATAGATTGAATGTTGATTGTTGCTTTTTTTAGACACTATATATATATATATATATATATATATATATATATATATATATATATATACAAACTAAATATCCTCTTGTTATCTTTAAATAATTTTCAGAAAAAATCATTTCTCTCCAATCTCCAAGAAATACACATAATATTTTCTCATTTCAAAAAACACCATTGTGCATGTATCCCTTACCTAAAAATTTAAATTGCCACAGAATTGTCTTAAATTAATCCCAGATGAGGCCCTTAACAAATATCAACCAATATTCACTATCTAAATCACATAGAAAAATTGTTAATGATTTCTAACCTGGTGAAAACCAATCAGTTGGTTTATGTATGTGTGGGCTGTTGTAAAGTTCTAAATATCTAAGTGTAGGAAAACACTCCCCTACAGCCTTCATTCCAACATCTGTTATAGTAGAGGGGGATTCTGTTACACTGTCCAGTCCCTCAATAACCAGGTCTTGATTGGTCCAGTTACCTGAAAAAAATGTACATGGCAACTTTTTACACTGTCTAGTCCCTCAATTACCAGGTCTTGATTGGTCCAGTTACCTAAAAAAATGTACATGGCAACTTGTTACACTATCTAGTCCTTCAATTACCAGGTCTTGATTGGTCCAGTTACCTGAAAAAAATGTACATGGCAACTTTTTACACTGTCTGGTCCTTCAATTACCAGGTCTTGATTGGTCCAGTTACCTGAAAAAAATGTACATGGCAACTTGTTACACTCTCTAGTCCCCCAATAACCAGGTCTTGATTGGTCCAGTTACCTGAAAAAAATGTACATGGCAACTTGTTACACTCTCTAGTCCTTCAATTACCAGGTCTTGATTGGTCCAGTTACCTATAAAAATGGAAATGGCAACTTGTTACACTATCTAGTCCTTCAATTACCAGGTCTTGATTGGTCCAGTTACCTGTAAAAATGGAAATGGCAACTTGTTACACTATCTAGTCCTTCAATTACCAGGTCTTGATTGGTCCAGTTACCTGAAAAAAAATGTACATGGCAACTTTTTACACTGTCTAGTCCCTCAATTACCAGGTCTTGATTGGTCCAGTTACCTAAAAAAATGTACATGGTAACTTGTTACACTATCTAGTCCTTCAATTACCAGGTCTTGATTGGTCCAGTTACCTGAAAAAAATGTACATGGCAACTTTTTACACTGTCTGGTCCTTCAATTACCAGGTCTTGATTGGTCCAGTTACCTGAAAAAAATGTACATGGCAACTTGTTACACTCTCTAGTCCCCCAATAACCAGGTCTTGATTGGTCCAGTTACCTGAAAAAAATGTACATGGCAACTTGTTACACTCACTAGTCCTTTAATTACCAGGTCTTGATTGGTCCAGTTACCTATAAAAATGGAAATGGCAACTTGTTACACTATCGAGTCCTTCAATTACCAGGTCTTGATTGGTCCAGTTACCTGTAAAAATGGAAATGGCAACTTGTTACACTATCTAGTCCTTCAATTACCAGGTCTTGATTGGTCCAGTTACCTGAAAAAAAATGTACATGGCAACTTGTTACACTATCTAGTCCTTCAATTACCAGGTCTTGATTGGTCCAGTTACATATATCTGAAAAAAATGTACATGGCAACTTGTTACACTATCTAGTCCTTCAATTACCAGATCTTGATTAGTCCAGCTACCTGAAAAAAATGTACATGGCAACTTGTTAAACAGTCTAGTCCTTCAATTACCAGGTCTTGATTGGTCCATTTACATAGAAGAAAATAAACACAGTAAATCTTTTAACTAACTGTAAAGACTGATTTCTGATTATTATCATGTGTCACAGATTTGCAACATAGAAGGCAATCATTACATCATGAAGTAATCAAAACCATATATTAACAACCTAATTAAACTAGTTCTTTACTGTTCCTAGGACCAAAAGTGTTCCGTACAATATTTGTGGCTCCAACATGGTCAAATACGACATTCTAAGTGTATTGATTGGCAGGGGATCTTGGGACCTGATGTTTTGTTTAAAACGACCTGTGCAGTGTACATACATAATCATGGCTGAAATTAAATAATTTTTAAAATAAAAAATGACATCATAATCATGCCTAAAATTAAAAAAGCCTCCATCAGCAACATTAAATAGTTAAAATAAAATTCCTTCACATACTTAATCATGGCTATAATTAAATTACCTTTATTAAACATTTTTAAAAAAGTAACTTCTAAAAATAAATTGACAGCTAATCACCTAAAGACAATACATTTCTTTACAAATAATTTACAAGCAGTGTAAGGGAGGTAATTTGACAATATGTGTTTGAATTACCTCCCTTGCACTGCTTTAAAATTATGTTTGTACTTAAGTAATTGTCCATTAACCTGGAAACCCTTGTTTTCCCCCTTTTTTGCCCCTAATTCCTAAACAGTTTGAGCCATTACCCCCCCCCCCCCCCCCAAAGCAAATTCCTACCATCCCTATGTGATATGGTAACTTGTGGTATAATTTTAGAGAGATACATACACCATTTCACAAGTTATTGTCTGGGAACTAGAAAAGTATTATTTGGGCCCCATTTTGGCCCCTAATTCCTGTACTGTTAGGACCATAACCCCCAAAATCAATCTCAACCTTCCTTTTGTGATCATAAACCTTATGGTAAAATTTCATAGAAATCCATACACTTAAACAAAAGTTATTGTCTGGAAACCAATGTGTCTTCGGACGACTAAGACGACGACGTGATACCAATATACGACCGCAAAATTTTTGCTGTCGTATAAAAAATGCCTTTTTTGACCCCTAAATTCCTAAACAGTTGGGACTATAACCTCCAAAATCAATCCCAACCTTCCTTTTGTGCTATTGAACCTTGTGCTTAAATTTCATAGAGATCCATTCACTTATACTAAAGTTATTGTCCGGAAACCAAATGTCTTCGGACGACAACGACGACATACAAACGCAAATTTTTTGCAGTTGTATAAAAACTAATGGCCTAATTCATAACAAAACAATTTATGAAAAAACAAATATAACAGACATGAACCAACGACCACCACAGAACTACAGGCTTGTTTAAACTATTTACACTGGTATGCACTTAATATTAGTTATTTTAATTTACCTGATTCCTGGAAAGGTTCAGTGTAGCCAAGGTAAAGTCTGTCAAATACTGGAAATTGTACAAATGCTGTCTTCAAAGCTATGAAAAGACTGTCCTTTGTCAGGGATGGCTGAAGATACATCTCCTCTAAACTGTTGATGGATTGTAAAAAATAATATCTTGAAAAAACATTACAATTAAAACAAGAAAAGAAATAAAAAATATATAGGTTATTCATCCAACATTTAAGTATCTACCCTGTTCCATTCCAGATTTATGTCAAGTACTGTTATATTTACATTATATTATGCTGCTCTTATTCTAAAATCTATCTACTAAAATATTTTTTGATAAAAGTAATCCTTTTTGTACCTTATTCTTTTAAATTAATGTATCCTTTAATCAGTAAACAAGTGAAAATGGATTAAACTGAACAAGGGAACATGGCTTGTACTTTTTTTTTAATATGATATAAGTTTGAATGTTTGTTGGACTTAATTTTATAATCATATCATTCTACATTGTAAAAAATGTTGACAACTTATACTTTTTATATTACCATTCTATCGGAGACTTTCAAAAATTCAATAACAGTCTGCTCCAATAGCCACTAGCCTTACAACCCTGTTTAGTGTAATTAATTCAGGCTGTAAAATATTGCACACAAATTTAAATTGACATATATTGAAAGTTCTTTAAACTATTTCACCAAAAGATTCTATACCAGATTGCAATTTTAACAATACACTTTAAAAGTTAATGATTATTCCTTAAATACTGTATGTCATCCTAAATATTCATGACAAATTTGCCACAGACTGACAGACAATAAGCAAATAACAAACAATCAGTCAATCGTTAAATTCTATGTACCAGTAATCCTCTCCATGCAGATCCATATGTACAGCCAACATACCTTTCTGCAGATGCTATAGCCAGGAAGCCTATATCCATACCAATAACATGTTTACAAGCTCCAAACTTCATGGTCTGCATGTTCTTAAATCTATGACCCCTCAAACTTGCTCCCCCATCATGTATAACATGGTGTAATAGTCCACCTGAAATGAGGAAAAAATAGAAACAAAAATAATTAAAACTATCATTTCAATAAGCAGTTCCAATTTCATGCATGTACTTTATTTAGAAACATTTTCTTCTGTAAAATAACTAACCAGTATGGCTTAGCAATATTTTTCTTATATTTTTATGAAAAAAGTCAGAAGGTTAGACATGTATGAGTGATCAGCATTGTACAAAAAAAAATGGTACAAGTCTTGAGAGTTACAATCTGTGAAGACTTGTACCATTTTAGCTCACCTGGCCAAAAGGGCCATGTGAGCTTGTGCCATCACTTTGCGTCCGTCATCGTCTGTTGTCTTCTGTCGCCATCGTCATCGTCTGTTGTCTTCTGTCGCCATCGTCATTGTAAACTATTTCAAGAATTTTCTCCTTGAAACATAATTTTTTACATTTTTTTGTGGGTCTATGACTTTTTAAAAACTCTTCTCCTCTGAAACTACTTGGCAAAATACTTGCAAACTTTAACCGAAATTTCCTTAGGGTATATATCTTGGTTTACATTTTTGCCTAGTATGTTGAAAACTATAATAAAGAGATAGAGAGATGCTTAAAATTGCAAAGATGATCAGCAAGACAAGTTCTACAAATTAGTCTAATGGTGGAAATCATCAGTTGACTCCTTATTAGAGTTATTGCCCTTTGATGACTATTTTTACCAATTTTTTGCGTTTTTGCCTCATATCTTCAAAATTATAATCATATAATGATAATATATAGAAACTTAAATAAGCTATAAAATGCTTCGCCGAGCGCAGTCGGATACGACTGCAGAGGTCGAACCATGAACAGTTGGGGCAAGTTTGGACACAATATTCAAGCCTGATACTGTCTGAATTTGGATTGTGATCAAATTTTTGACATAATATAGGTTTCTGGCACAAAATAAATGTGGTTAAAGATCTTAAAAATTTAAAATGGAACATTTAATTTACCTAGTATGGTCTGATATCCAAAATTTAACAACATGGTTAGATTCAGCATATAAAAGAAAAACACCAAAAATTTAATTTTAGTTGAAATCAAACAAAGTTTAATTTTGGACCCTTCAACCCTTAATATGGACTAACTTGAAAACAGGGCCCAAAATAAAAAATCTAAGTTCACAATAAGATTCAGCATATCATAGAGCCGCAATAATTCAGTTACAATCAAACAAACTTTAATTTTGGATCCTTTGGACCTCAATGTAGACCAATTTAAAAATGGGGCCCAAGATCCAAAATAGTAATACAAGGTTACACCCCCAAAAATTAAAGACTTTAAATTAATCCCATTGAAATTGGTTAAAAGATTTGTATTTATTTCTTGCTACTGCACAATACTGTGATATTGCGCAATACTGTGCTATTGCACAATTCTGTGCTATTGTGCAATACTGTGCTGTTGCACATTACTTAGTTAATCTGCTATATATAACAATTTTCACACCCTGTTTGGTGTGAATCTCCTGCCATATCAGTATGTGTTGCTTTTATATGTAAATCAGAAATAATCAATGTAAAAATGAAAAATTTTAGAGAAAAAAACCCAAATAATTATGAAAAAAAAAATCCATTTGTCCCCCCACCTTTTTTTATTTTAAAAATTAGAAATTTTGAAAAATCTTGGAAGAAAAAAAAAAATGAAACCCCCCCCCAAAAAAAATACCCCCCTCCACAATTTTTTTTTTTTTTCAAATAAATTTCAAATTTCAAAAATTTTGAAGAAAAAAATTATGAAACCCCAAAAAAATTTGAAAAAAATCCCCCCCCCCCCCCTAAAAGTACAATTTCAGAGAGAGAGTTCCATAAACTTTAACACAAGTTATTGTCTTGAAACTAGAAAAATGATTGTCTTTGTCCCCTTTTTTATCTCTAATTTCTAAATGTTTGGGGCAATTACCCCCAAACTCAATCCCAGCCTTCCCTTTGTGGTATGGAACCTTGTGAGATCCATATATACACTTAAAAACAAGTTATTGTCCGGAAACTACAAACATGCTTGTTTTTGGCCCCTTATTCCTAAACTGTTGGTACCATAACCCCCAAAATCAATCCCAACCTTCCTATTGTGGTATTGAACCTTCTGGTAAAATTTCATAGATATCCATTCACTTAAACTAAAGTTATTGTCCGGAAACCAAATGTGTCTTTGGACAACGACGACAACAATGTCAATGAATGACATGATAGCATTATATGAACCAAATTTTTTACAATCGTATAAAAATGATCAGAAAGACAAGATCTAGATTTTACCTACAAGTTCTATTCACAGCCAAATGAGAGCAGTGGGGAACTATAACAGACTTTTGCCCATTTCTCCTCCAAAATAAAATTCAGGCTGTTAGTTTTCAAGCCTTTAGTTTTTTTGTTTCAATTTTTTTACATTTGTTATATTGGGGCCCATTATAACTTGCTATGTGGTATGTGCTTTGCTCATTGCTGAAGGCCATACTGTGACCTACAGTTTATTATTTTTATGTCATTTGGTCTCTGTTTAAAATTGTCTTATTGTCTTCGTAGACTTTGAACTGACCTGTTACAAGAAAGTTGGTAACTAAAAAAAAAAAAAAAAAAAAAGCTTCAGCAGTAACTAATTTTGTATCTTGAATGAACTTACCCAGAAAAGGAACTCTGATTAGTTCCATCCTCTGTAAGCTCCTTGCAGCTGCCAGTCCAGCTATCAGTGGAACATACTTCAGGACATTTGTAGGTCCTGCACAGTTAGCCATAACAAAACTCTTTAAGCTTGGTACTGCAAAGTCTTTAAATGGTTGTGGATTAATGAAATGTACATATCGTAACTGTAAATGTTTCAAATGTATCAATGCTGGCAACTTGGGAATAACTATCCCTATTAAATGCATAGATGTTATCATGGGATTTTCAGGAATGCGTAGAACATTGAAATCATCAATGGGGAAACATCCGTCTCTGTTACGAAATGTTCCAAGAACCTCAACATGTGCAAAATAAGTGAATAAAGTTCCTAATACAAGTGTGTCCGAGACTTCTACACCTTTCAGTTGAGTTAATACTGACAATGATTCAATAATACCAGGTATACTCAGCTTCTTTGTTCCACGCTGCCGTCTTTTTGAGAGATATGGCGGATGGAATCCATAAATGTATTGCAGGTCAAGACAACGCTTAAACAAATGAAGGAGGGAAGAATCAGACAAGCGATCACTCATCCAACTTATCAACTCCCCTTCAGAAAAATCTAAGTTCTTTTTTACCCGCAGATGCATAGTAACAGCATTGTGGAGTTTTCTACTCAGATGATCGAGTTTGAGAAAATCACGTAGGTGGAGGTATCTCATGATATTACATAAAACCTCCAAAGACAGGGTAGACACATAATCCTGGTCTGCATGCTTAATATTTTCATTTGGTTGAGAGGAAATCTGTTTCTCAACAATTTTGGAAGTTATTCCTGATTTATTAACTTCATCGTTCTCAATATCTTTTTCCTTTTCTGTTGGAACATCAATTGTATCTTTTATCTTGTCTTTCTTTCTAATTCTTTGTTTCTTCCTTGGTTTCATTGTCTTTAATTCTGTAATATAAAGTACAAAACCAGTACAATACCAAAGTACAACATGAGTTCCATACCAAAGTACAACATGATTTCCATACCAAAGTACAACATGAGTTTCATACCAAAGAACAACATGAGTTCCATATCAAAGTACAAGAGTTACATACCAAAGTACAACATCAGTACAATTCCAAAGAACAACAATTTACAACACCAAAATACAATACTAAAGTACAAAAACATTACAATTAAAAACTACAGGTCCAGTACAGTACCAACGTACTTTATTAGTACAATTCCAAAATACAACAACACAATACCAACGATCAATATCAGAGTACTTTATTAGTACAATTCCCAAACAATCTGATGTACAACAACACCACAATTCCAAAGTACAATGCTCATGTTTACTGTGTTAATTGGTACATATCATGACCGACTCTTCACAAAATTTACTTGCTTACTTACTTACTATGCCAGAACAATACCAAAGTGCAACTTCAGTACAATACAAAAGTAAAAAAAATAGTAGAATACCAATGTACAACAACAGTACAATACCAACAATGACCAAAGAACATATGTATACCACCAGTACAATGCAATTTTGTAACAAAGTACAATACCACATGATACCAGTACAATCTGCAAGAAATTTCCTATACCATTGAAAGTACAATATTTTATGCAAGTCGTGCCAGTACAATTTTAACATACAATAGAAAAGCTATACCAGTACTTTAAATTTTCTATTACATATAAATATATTATGGGCACTTGCTACCTGATAAGCTCCTGAAGGTTACTTGATGGTTATGATATCAGATATAGAAATTTGCAGAAAATCATACACTCCTCAAATACAAATTTGTAAGAAATCAATACAATAGTATGCTACTTTATGATGTTTTATGAAAAATCAAGAAAAAGAATGAAAAACCAGAAAGGAGTTTTCTACTATGTTCATGATGTTCATAAAGCTTTTTTACCATGATATCAGTAACCATAGTAGACCAATATAAAAAATTCCACCATTTATACTACACCTTCCAGAGCATATAATTCACTTTAATTTGGTGGTAAATTGCATGACATTTAAACCAAATATCAAAGTCTTAGAAGTTTAAACATTGCTAAATAGATGTCAAGTCAGTATGTTCATGATGTAAAATTAAAAGAAGTCAAAAATGTGGATAGGATATATTATGATGAGGGCATCTTTTTGGCACTTTTGAATTATAAAATGAAACAGTATTATGCACATGTATATGTATATGTATCAAGCATGTCAAGTAACATTCACAAGACCATTTTAAAATTTAATCTAAAACATTTACTTATGGTCTTCAAATTAAATTTTCTTTCATTCAATAACAAAAACAGCCAAACTTATCAACATGATAAAGATTCTTAGTTCATGTGTATCAGTAAGATAAGATATCTTATAGCAAGATGATGGATGATCTTTGGGCATGTAAGGGGTAGGCTATATATTGCTTATATTCAGCATTCTAGTTCTAACTCAAAGATAATTTGGATTATTTGCTTTTGCAATGTTTATGTTTTTATTTTGATAGAAAATGTATTAAGTTTTGCATCTCAGATGCACAGAAAAAGTAAAATTCTGATAGCTGCTTGCTCAGTTAAACATGTTAAAAGAGATTAATAACTGTTTCGGATTAGTTGAGGCTCTGATCTTTATTTCCACAACTTATCAGCGCTTGACAAAGTCAACAGTGACCTTTAAACAACGTACTGTACCAAGGTCCTGTACTGTCTTTGGGTCTTATTTGGACATATATAAATGAACACCTCATGTTATTGTTGACAGACAAATTCTATCTTAGGATCAAGTTAAAAAATCATTATGTACGATACATGTAAAGAAGTTCAAATTAAAAGCCAATCTTAATTGACTAGGATTGTCAGTTTTCCTACCAAAGGTCGTGGTTCTCTCTGTGCACTCCGGCTTCCTCCACCAATAAAAACTGAGTGCTACGAAACAGCACAAAAGTGCTGAAAGTGGTGTGAAACAACAATCAATCAATCAAATCAAAAGTAATTGGTTAGCTGACCCTGGGTAATGGGGATAAGATGCATGGTAGGAATAAGAGATGTTAATTGAAGGGATTGCAATAAATAAAACAACAGCAGCTGTGCTGGCCTAAAAAAAAGTTGTCACTAGAAAAATCTTTACTCGCCAAAATCCTAAAATCAAATTTTTGAAGGCCATCACTTTTATCCAGATGATATTTGATAAAAAAAAAAAAGATGTGGTATGATTGCCAATGAGACAGCTATCCACCAAAGTTCAAATGAAGCGGATGTAAGCAATTATAGGCACCTGTACAGCCTTCAACAATGAGAATAAACTGCTTCGCTGAGCGCAGCTGGATACGCCCGCAAAGGTCCAACCCTGAACAGTTGGGACAAAAATGGACACAATATTCAAGCTTGATACAGGTCTGAATTTGGATTGTATTAAATACTTAAAATATTATAGGTTTCTGAATAAATGTAGTCAAAGAACTTTAAACTGGTTATATGAATTGAATTTATATTCAATTAAAGATTTCTTGCTGTTGTGCAATACACTGTGCTGTTGCGCTATACTTAGTAAATCTGTTGTCAGACTATAAACAATTAAAGTTCAATTAATTCTCAATGTCATATTAAAAATTTATGAAAATGTAAAAGGAGCTTACATCAATAGATATAAATAATTCAAATAGTTTCATGAGAATTTCTGACAGCATTTTTGAGTTATTGTCCAAAAACTGGAAAATCCCCCCTTTTTTAATGAATAAAACCCCATAACTCAGAAATGTAAAATGTAAAATTTATAAAATTCTAAACGGAGCTTACATCAATAGATATAAACAATTCACCAAAGTTTCATAAGAACTGCTGAAAGCATTGTTGATTTTTTGTCTGAAAACTGGAAAATCCCCCTTTTTTTTATGAATAAAACCCTGTAACTCGGAAATGTAAAATCTAAAATATATAAAAATCAAAAGGGAGCTCATGTCAATAGATATAAACAATTTACCACAATTTCTTGCAAGTTGGTGAAAGCATTCTCGAGTTATTGTCCGAAAACTGGAAAATCCCCCTTTTTTTAATGAATAAAACCCCATAACTCGGAAATGTAAAATCTAAAATTTATAAAAAACGAAAGGGAGCTCACGTCAATAGATATAAACAATTCACCAAAGTTTTATGCAAATTGGTTAAAGCGTTTTTGAGTTAATGTCCGACATGTTGACGACGGACGGACAGACGGACAGACAGACGGACAGACGGACGGACAGACGGACAGACAGACGGACAGACGGACTGACAGACGGACAACGGTATACCATAATACGTCCTGTAAACGGGCGTATAAAAACCCATACCATATAATAAAGGCCCCAACCTTAAAAAATTGAAACATCTTTATAATTGAGAAAACATTACTACCAATGCCATCACTGTTTGGGGAAAATGTAAAACTTTTTGGGAGGAATTTTAAGCCATTTTTTTTTTAGTAATTGGGAATTTTCTCTAGGGGAAAAAGCCGAATTTCGGCTGTAATTTGAGGCAAACAATATCACTGGCTATATACCTGCCAACTTTTGAAAATCTCCATGGGGGGGTTTTAGTGCGTTACAACAATTTCAAAGGTTAAAAATGTTTGCTGTGTTTTTGCGACAGCTGTTTTGTGCTCTAGAAAAAGTGTCATATATTTTTATATATGGTATATGATGATGAGCTTTATATATGGTATATGATGATGAGCTTTATATATGGTATATGATGATGAGCTTATAATCTTTTCTTCTTCCCCCTAGTCATGCTAGTCCAGGTCACCAAAAATGTTTTTAACATAATTTTATTGCTACTGAATCTACTTATTTGGATCGGAAATTAATCACAGCTTGATTTGACTTCTTAATTGGCCATTAAATAACATGCGTTTCAACATGCGTGATTTATGACAACTTATCGGTGGGTGTGCAAATATTGACACCTGTGTGTAATGTCTCTTTTCAAAAGATTTGATGTTAACTACATGTACATGTTGATTGGAATACATTTTTATTGGTTTTTAATACAATATCACAGATTCAGATCGATTAAGAAGTGAAATCTTCTGATCAGGAAAGAAATTACTAACTAAAATTCCTCCCAAAAAGTTTTACATTTTCCCCAAACAGTGATGGCATTGGTAGTAATGTTTGTAAATATCATATTCATGTATTTTGATATTAGAAAGCACTTTTGAGATCCGGTTTTCTGATCAGAATCATTGTGGTGTTTGTAACACATGTAGTTTTCAATCAATCTCCGGCGCAGAGTTCATATCCGTTCCATACATGCTCCGCAATACTGCACATAATATGAGGTCATATTGAGTGTAGTGTTACGAAGTATTGAACGGAACAGATATGATCTCTGCGCCGGAAATCTTCTGATCAGGAAAGAAATTACTAACTAAAATCTGTGTTTTAAACAAATATGTACAAGTAAATGTTTAGTGTCAAGAATGTTATTATCGATATATAATCATTAATAAAATGCTATTGTATTTTTATAAGACATACTTCCTTATCACATAATCTGGGACTAATATACTTATCTATGAGTCCAAACACACAGTATAATATATGTATGACGGTATATTTTTCCTGTTTCAATTATCATGTATGAGGCTATGAATGGGTAACCATTTATGAGAGTATGAATAGGGTTTACAGAAAAGAGAATAATTGGACAACAAATATAAATAACAGAATATAGAAGTGATGAAATATAAAGAATAGATTGATTGATTCTTGGTTGCTTAATGTCCAGTGGCATATATTTCATGCATGTTTAGGACAAATATAATAGAGACCAATTGGCAGAAGAATAAAGAGTAGAGTGAAATGGTAAAAAAATAAAAGATTGAGAGCTACAGAAAGGATGATCCACCCACACTCGCATATATATACATCTCTAAATAAATATTTAATTTTGGTTTCATGGTGCCCCCCCAGGCATCAAGGTTCTGGATCCGCCCCTGTCCATTAGCTACTATGCATTATATGTTTATGGTAGTACTACATCATTGAATTTTGTCAATCAATCATGATTTTCTTCTTAAGCTGTGTAAGAACCTTCTTGCAGATGAAAATTCATCTGCCATGATCACGATTTTTACAATTCTGACATACAGACAGTTAGCTGCGAAAACGTAGCTCTAATGTCCTTTGATTTTTTTTTTCTATGGTCCACAAATATCAAAATCATCAAAAGGACCTTAAGAGCTACGTTTTCGCAGCTAACAGACAGTGAAATACAACTCAAATGTTCCAAACAAGTTCAAAATTTAGCAGGTTTGCAATTTGCAATGCCCAAAGATCAGGAGAAACAACGTTGTTGATTGGCTGATCAGGGTTGTCTCCCTTAGGAAAAGTTCAAAATAATGTTTTAGAGCTTTTTACACAATCATGATCGTGCAATCGTGACAAGGGGTCAAAATCGTGTAATTCACACCTAAAAGTTCTCCCTACTTTTATTAAAAAATATTAATATTAAGGGTATTAAAGGTTAATAAACTTATTCAGATATATATATAAATGGTATATAAATTCTTGAAATTTATGACACATAAAAATATTTAAAACTAATGGTGTGATTTTTAGCATTATAATTGTTCATAATTATAATTTTCACTGATTGTTGTAATAACTGTCTTTGATGGATTAATAATAAAATCAACATTTCGTTTTGATAAACTAGTCATGCATAGTCAGCTTGGAACAGGAACATATATATTGACTGTTAGATATACTGTTCCCAGCTTGGAATGAGTAAACACAATGATGTACGAATTGTACATTTTGTAAAACATAAAACATGTAAAAAGGATTTATAAGTTCATTTATTATTATATTGCATAAATTGACTTCATGACTAGAATTATTAAAATTGTTAACAAATATCAATAAAGATAAATACATTGTATTCCAGTATTCTACTATGCAAATCAAAGGAAAATAATTATTTGGTTGCAGCAATACAGGGGAATTTTTCAACAAACTTTAACATACTCTGTTCAAATAATAAACATGATAAACATTATACAACAATAAAAAAAAATAAAAATCAGGGCGAATGGACCCAAGGTACAAAGGTATTAGAGCGAAAAGGTACTAGGATGAAAGTGAGTCAAGGCGAACGGCCTCGGATTCCAACTGAACTACAGGCTCCTGACTTAATTGGGACAGGCACATATAGAATGAGTCGGGTTAAACAAGTCTGCTGGTGCCAAACCCTCCACCAGCCATGGTTCAATTTTAACCTGTTAAGTTTATGCAAAAAGCCATTTTATATCATTATTGTTCTCTTATTGTAGCATCATCATTTTTTAGTCCAAATACATGAAATAATTATGATGTCTTGAAAGGCTGTTTTTTTTTTTTTGCTTTGACGCCTTACTACGACGTAAAGTGTCAAAGCAAGAAAATGAAATAGCCTTTCATGACGTCCTAATTATTTGGAATACACCATTTTCTTCTGATGAACCTTAAAAGGGATTACCATGATTCCACTGCTGCACTTAACAATTTATGAAATTTTTTATCTCCAACACAGACAATTGCTTTTATCAATTGTAAGGTCGACTATCCATATATATTATAAGTTCTATATGACAAGCCGACCTTCCATTGGATAGACACAAGACTTAGTTCCTGTGAGTGTGATCTCAACATGTTTATAACATTATTCATTAAACTCAACTATTAAAAGGGTTAAGTTTAATAGGTATCTAAACCCTATTAAGTTTTCTCCCTGTAACTGGGAAATGAGAAGAGGGGATTCAATTGCTAGATTCAGCTGTTGTGCTCACATTTTGTGCTATAAACATAAAGAAAGAACTCTAGACCCTGGGTGGTTGATTTTCTGTTTTGATGATTTCCACAAAGTACTAAAATACACAACAAATACGGAACATACTTGTAAACGACGGTCTCAATAATTAGCGACAAGAAGCGTCAAGAAGCGACAAGAAGAAACATTTATGAAACGAAATAAATATTTATTTTATAATTTTAACTTAAATCTCTGTCAAATGGCTTATAATACAATACAAATACAAATACAATATGATTGTGTGTTGCAAAGTTTGCAAAGTTTGCATGCATCTGAATTTCATTGTTTTAGTTGCAACAAATCAAATGAAACCGACAGAGGGGCGAAAGTTTTTTTTTCCGGTGCTTTATACTGCCTAAGTGTTAAGTTTTCACACGTCGTGTTGAATGATTAAAGTTTTAACGGTAAATTTTACCCTAGAAAGAAAAAAAAAAGGTGGTACACCTGAGATAAATATTATAAATGGGACTATATTTCAGAACTGGGTTAATGAGGACACGCACGTGGGTCTCCATCTAGATTCGGGGTTCTATGACTAAATGAAGGTATACACAGACGTGCCGCTGGAATGGGTCCCCTTTATATATTTAAATTGTATTAATGGCATACACTAAATTTCACTGAGGTCAAATATCAATGGGTTAGTAATTTTCATCCTCCGAATTATAATAAATGTTTGTTTAAATGCTGTTTTATCGTTTTTATTCAAATTTAGATATCAAAACTTGTACTTGGATGGAGAGTTGTCTCATTAGCACTCATACCACACCCTCTTATTCATATTGTATAATATGTGATTACTGAGAAAACTATGAATGGGTCACGATTTTGTCATCAGAAATATATTAGGTGTCGTGATTTTTCCTCAAGGTTTTAATTTATGAAAGGGTGTTTTCCCAGCTGAACTGCAGTACCCAAAATCCCATGTTTAGATCGACCCCACCGTTCCCCGTGATTGAGAAATAACCTTCATTAAATTAGAGTGGCTTGAAAGATTTTAAAGCAAACTACTTCAATCCTAATATTATTGAAAATTAATAGTCAGAGACATATATGTCTCTGTAATAGTTTTGGGCTAAACGTTGGGGATTTTTTTTTTATCATTTGCGGATTTGCCTGGGACATAAATAGATCTGATCGTGCCACTTATAATCCCCCCTCCTTTTTGCCCTTCCACCCAGGAATTTACCTTCACGTACTGTTGCACCCAAATTAAACACAGAATGAAAATAAATAATTGAATTTGACCTTATAAAAAATCTATGATTTCACCCCAAAAATATTGAGAATTAAAGTATAGGACATGCATATTAAATTGCACATTGCTAGAACACAGTGAAATATCCGTACAAATGTTAAAAAGGTAATACAAATAGAAAGGAAATACGAAAAAAGTTCAAAAAGCATTGCATAACAAATATATCCGCGAAACGTACATATATTTATAAATATAGATTATAACATGGCATTTTTCATATCAGACCCCTTATCAGCCCTAGGTCATGATATCAGCCCGAGAGCCGACACTGGCAGGCTCGAGGGATGATTTTGACCATGGGCTGATAAGGGGTCTGATATGAAAAATGACATGTTATGTTCTTTTTATCATATATTTCGGCAGAAGCCATACAGACATGAAAACTTTTATTAAACTTTATAAAATTCATTTATTGTCACAGTATTATTTGTTTTGCGTTTTTTCAATAATATATTTTTCTGTTTCCTAATATTCCTTTTGTTATTCTACTTAGCTATGTTATTCACTTAAATGTACCACTGAGGTTTATTTTCCGGAATTTGCAGAATGACGTCGAAATGCTTTGCGATTACGTTAAAGAAAGGCATGCGATAATAACCGGAAGCAGTTTTAAAATTGATATAAACCGGAAACAGTTGATATATACCGGAAGCAGTTGATAACAATTAAAAGTCATATCACACGGTTAAGACAATTCTACCAATTTATTGAATAAAAATATGTATAAGTTATTTTTATCAAGGGGTACAATTATACCATTATTTTCTACAAGTATATGATAAATATAGATTATAACATGGCATTTTTCATATCAGACTAATTATCAGCCCTAGGTCATGATATCAGCCCGAGAGCCGACAGCCTCGAGGGATGATTTTGACCATGGGCTGATAAGGGATCTGATATGAAAAATGACATTTTGTGTTCTTTTTATCATATACTTCGGAAGAAGCCATACAGACATGAAAACTTTTTTTAAACTTTATAAAATTCATTTATTGTATTATTTGTTTTGCGTTTTTCAATAATATATTTTTCTGTTTTCTTATATTCCTTCTGTTATTCTACTTAGCTATGTTTTTCACTTAAATGTATCACTGAGGTTTATTTTCCGGAATTTGCAGAATGACGTCGAAATGCTTTGCGATTACGTTAAAGAAAGCCGCATGCGATAATAACCGGAAGCAGTTGATATAAACCGGAAACAGTTGATATATACCGGAAGCAGTTGATAACAAAAGTCATATCACACGATTAAGACAATTCTACCAATTTATTGAATAAATATATGTATAAGTTACTTTTATCAAGGGGTACAATTATACCATTATTTTCTACAAGTATATGATAAAGGTGCATATCACGTATCACGTATGTTTACATAATTGTTGTATTCTGACCTGAAGAATTCTCATAAAACTTATCTGGTGCATTTATCTCCTCTACAAAGTTATATTCGTATTTAGCAGTCCGTGCCCCCCCCCCCCCAAACCACTTATAAAGTTACTATCTTGCTTAACTCCGAGGTTGTATCATCTATGGAATATATAGATATAAGAAGATGTAATATGAGTGCCAATGAGACAACTCTCCATCCAAGTCAAAATTTATAAAAGTAAACCATTATAGGTCAAAGTACGGTCTTCAAATGTGTATAGATGACCTGCTCGTTATTGCCTTATTGAAAAATATCACTGAAAAGTATGTTAGTGTGGTCGACACGTTGCTAAATGCTGTATATCATATATGACAGAAACGCAACATGAAATTTCATTGAAATGTAACCATTCTTTTAAGAGCAAAGAAAAGTATGCAGTTAAATGGTTACAAAATGTTGATAAGGGCTACTCAAATGTTCCTAAACCGCACTTTTCTTCACCAGCAGACTGTACTATAGCTACATACAGTAAGATTACTAAGTGTACGTACACTCGGCGGAGGAAAGGAGATTTAAACCCAAAATAAATTCCACTTCAATGGGCTTTATTTTTAAGAATAATTTTAGCAATTTCTGCTTATTATCGCGTGCATAGCGGAGAAGTTGATCTCACTGAAGATAGCATCCATGGCGTACTCAAATCCTTAATTGATTGAAATTGTAAAACCCGACGCGAAATAATCCGATTGATTCACTAAAAAGATCAGAAATTATCCAGCATTTGCATATTTAATTTAAGAGACCCTTAAGTAATAAGAAAATAAACAGATCATACCCTAAATTATCCGAATTCAACTTGACATAAATCCAAGAAAATTTTACTTAGACATTTACAAACATGTGAAAAAAGGGAATTTGCATAGATTTACAAAACACGTACCCGAAATCTGACATTCGGACAAAAAGGCTACCCGAATTCTGCTTTCAAGACCATTGCAGATCCGAAAGACCAATGCCAACCAGATTTCTTTCAAACTCACAAAAATGCCCAGAATTTTCCTAGCATAAATAAACTGTAGTTATCCCCAACCCTCCCAGTTCACCCAAGTAGACAGCCATCACTCGTAACCAACCTAGGTTTACACATCCATACCTAGACCTGACAGCGAACTAAAAGCGTAAACAATGATCTATTATTAATGCTTTCGTTCGATATGGGTGACTCGCGGCTTAACGTCAGCACGGAAGCAATTATTTCATGTTCACGACAACAAATAAACCAACATTACGATGTGTAATGTTCTTTACATGTAAATATAAAGAATGTAAACCTGCTCACACAAAAACAGTCCGCAGAAAAACATTCTAACCACTCAATCATATCCCGATAACCCACTTTTCGGACCCATATATATCAGTTCACACTGTCTTTCCCTATATTGGTACATATAAAGACATATTGGTACATATAACGACATATTGGTACATATAAAGACATATTGGTACATATAACGACATATTGGTACATATAACGACATATTGGTACATATAACGACATATTGGTACATATAACGACATATTGGTACATATAACGACATATTGGTACATATAACGACATATTGGTACATATAAAGATTTATTGGTACATATAAAGACATATTGGTACATAAAAAGACATATTGGTACATACAAAGACATATTGGTACATATAAAGACATATTGGTACATATAACGACATATTGGTACATAAAAAGACATATTGGTACATATAACGACATATTGGTACATATAACGACATATTGGTACATATCAAGACATAGTGGTACATATCAAGACATATTGGTACATATAAAGACGTATTGGTACATATAACGACATAGTGGTACATATAAAGACATATTGGTACATATAAAGACATATTGGTACATATAACGACATATTCGTACATATAACGACATATTGGTACATATAACGACTTATTGGTACATATAACGACATATTGGTACATATAACGACATATTGGTACATATAACGACATATTGGTACATATAACGACATATTGGTACATATAAAGATTTATTGGTACATATAAAGACAAATTGGTACATATAAAGACAAATTGGTACATATAACGACAAATTTGTACATATCAAGACATAGTGGTACATATAAAGACATATTGGTACATATAAAGACGTATTGGTACATATAACGACATAGTGGTACATATAAAGACATATTGGTACATATAAAGACATATTGGTACATATAACGACATATTGGTACATATAACGACATATTGGTACATATAACGACATATTGGTACATATAACGACATATTGGTACAAATAACGACATATTGGTACATATAAAGACATATTGGTACATATAAAGACATATTGGTACATATAACGACATATTGG